GTGTGTGTGTGTGTGTGTGTGTGTGTGTGTGTGTGTGTGTGTGTGTGTGTGTGTGTGTGTGTGTGTGTGTGTGTGTGTGTGTGTGTGTGTGTGTGTGTGTGTGTGTGTGTGTGTGTGTGTGTGTGTGTGTGTGTGTGTGTGTGTGTGTGTGTTGGTGTCTGTGTGTGTGTGTGTGTGTGTGTGTGTGTGTGTGTGTGTGTGTGTGTGTGTGTGTGTGTGTGTGTGTGTGTGTGTGTGTGTGTGTGTGTGTGTGTGTGTGTGTGTGTGTGTGTGTGTGTGTGTGTGTGTGTGTGTGTGTGTGTGTGTGTGTGTGTGTGTGTGTGTGTGTGTGTGTGTGTGTGTGTGTGTGTGTGTGTGTGTGTGTGTGTGTGTGTGTGTGTGTGTGTGTGTGTGTGTGTGTGTGTGTGTGTGTGTGTGTGTGTGTGTGTGTGTGTGTGTGTGTGTGTGTGTGTGTGTGTGTGTGTGTGTGTGTGTGTGTGTGTGTGTGTGTGTGTGTGTGTGTGTGTGTGTGTGTGTGTGTGTGTGTGTGTGTGTGTGTGTGTGTGTGTGTGTGTGTGTGTGTGTGTGTGTGTGTGTGTGTGTGTGTGTGTGTGTGTGTGTGTGTGTGTGTGTGTGTGTGTGTGTGTGTGTGTGTGTGTGTGTGTGTGTGTGTGTGTGTGTGTGTGTGTGTGTGGTGTGTGTGTGTGTGTGTGTGTGTGTGTGTGTGTGTGTGTGTGTGTGTGTGTGTGTGTGTGTGTGTGTGTGTGTGTGTGTGTGTGTGTGTGTGTGTGTGTGTGTGTGTGTGTGTGTGTGTGTGTGTGTGTGTGTGTGTGTGTGTGTGCAGTGTGTGTGTGTGTGTGTGTGTGTGTGTGTGTGTGTGTGTGTGTGTGTGTGTGTGTGTGTGTGTGTGTGTGTGTGTGTGTGTGTGTGTGTGTGTGTGTGTGTGTGTGTGTGTGTGTGTGTGTGTGTGTGTGTGTGTGTGTGTGTGTGTGTGTGTGTGTGTGTGTGTGTGTGTGTGTGTGTGTGTGTGTGTGTGTGTGTGTGTGTGTGTGTGTGTGTGTGTGTGTGTGTGTGTGTGTGTGTGTGTGTGTGTGTGTGTGTGTGTGTGTGTGTGTGTGTGTGTGTGTGTGTGTGTGTGTGTGTGTGTGTGTGTGTTCCCTTCCCCCCAAAATGTTCCCTTTCCCCAAAAAAAACATGTGTTCCTTGTCCCTTTCCCCCAAAAAAAAAACAAAATCCAGCCCAGTCTCAACCCGACCCTCCCTCCCAGTCTCGCCCCGATCCTTCCCTGTTCCGAGGCGCCACATACTCGTGGTACCGCTCCCAGACCCCGGCCGGCGTCGCGGAGACCCGGTCCTCCCACGGCCCGCGGCCCGGGCCGCAGTTGTCGGGCCAGCAGTTCCGGGTGTAGCCCTCAGCCCAGCCGGAGGAGTCCCACCAAAGAGGGGGGAAGGTCCCTAAGGCCACCTCAGGCTCCCTAAGGTGGTTTTTTCCTCAGCGTGTGGGGGAAGGGAATGCGGCAAACTGCATACCTTCCAAATGGGGGACCCGTCACCGCCGTTTGCTCGCAAAAGACATCGGCGGGCGTCGGTTGCTTTCAGAGACAAACCCATCGGAAGTCCCACCCCTTCGCCGAAGTCCCAAAAGATTGCCAGGGGAGAAGACTCACCCTTTTGGGCGGAAGAAAATTCCTCAGCAAAACGGAGGGACCACAAATCAAAGTCCCAGCCTTTTCAAGGTAAGGTCCCCAGTTAAAGCCTGAAACGGCGGGGACCCATGTAGTAAGACATCCTCAAAATCAGCTTCTCCGTGGCTTTAAGGCAAGCGTCCCTGTCCAATGTCAACTGCGAATTCTGTCTGAGGGACAAAACTGGTCATTTAGTGGGATCCAAAGAAAGTCTTCCCCTCAAAATCTTCACTTCCGACAGACATTTTGCCGCAACAAAAAAACCTTCGACCCACAAGGAACCATCCGACCCCAAACAGTTCGGGGGCCGAAGGTGGCTTGCATTGGAGGTTCGGTTTTCCACTCTTCGAGGACCAGGGCGGATCCTGCCGAAACTGATCCCCTGCTAAAAGTTGACAACTCTTAGCGGGTTAAATACTAACACGGAAACCCAACCACTAAAAACTAAAAAGATCTGAAAAGCTAAGTTGAACCGGATGGCTGGGAGCCGCCAATTTAACAAAAATGGGTCACCTGAAAAGTGGTACTCCCCAGTTTCACATACCCCAAGACTCACAGGGTTTCTTCCGTTCATTTCCTGGGGTCCAAAAACTTGAGAAGGTCTTCCCTGGGATTCTGACAACGGCCGGCCACTAAAACAGAGGATTTTGCCCAGTTGAAACATGGCTTTTTCCACCAAAACAAAGGAACACCACCATTTACAAGGCAATGTTCAGGTGAAAAATGTAAGGATCCCTGCTCTGGTTGCAAACCGATTCCCACAAGTGGGACCCTTCTGAATGACAAGAATCCGGAAGGAGCCCTGCAGAGTGGTCCTCACCGCGCCCCAAACCATCCTGAACCTCCACGGACCCAGCCCCGTCGGCTTCTGCCCAGCCCGGGACCTTCCCCGCCTCGGGGGTCTGCTCGCCCTGCGCCAGGGAAGGCTCCGGCGTGGGCGGCACCGTCTTCGTGCCCTGAGATGGGCGCGGCCCTCCCGAGGGGGAGCCCCTCGGTGCCAAAAAAATATGGGATGGGACTTTGCTTTTTCTTTGACACGACAAAGGGACACAACCTGTTTATTAGATGAGCTACCCTTTTCGGCATGGGAAGACAAAAGGACACCGAAGACAAATCATTTTGGGTGGGCTCCAGGCCTATTTTTAGGGATACCTCGATGAATTTCATGTGCCCCCTCCAAATTCGTAACTCGGAAGTGCGGTTGTCAAAGGGGCCCCTTGAAATTTGACTTTGGTCTCTCGGTTTCCCGCTCGAGCTCAAAAATGCACCTCCCTATGTGGGGATGCCTCGTCTTTCCTTTTACGGTACCCGCACACCCCATGTCTTTGGGAGAAAGAGATAAACCCCTAGTTTTCTTTAAGAGGGTGTCCTGTGGGATTTCATCACTTTTGGAGGGGACACCCCCCAAAAAAAATGCCAACTCTTTCTTGCTTTTCAGAAAGGTATGCCCTGGGTGTTTATGTTTCTTTGGCCCAACCAGTTTTGCCTCCTTTCTACACAGAAAAAAAGAAGAAAAAAAAAAACACCACTCACTATATACCCCTCTCGTGTTTTGAAAGGAATGGGCTTCACAACTGGACATATTTCCGCAAATTTGTTTCAGGGGACGTATTCGCAGATGGACCGATTCGGGTTTCCTTTGGGACGGTCCAAACAATAGGTTCACGTATCCGCCCTCAACTGGTTGTTTACCACGGGCTTGGGAAGACTTGAGCACACTAATGTTGGCAGATTGAACTTGTCTCTTTTTTGGTACACCCGTAAAACGGCTCCGGTTTTCCCTTGGCTTTCCTTGAAAAACATCTCACACGAAACAGTTATACCAACTCCGGAAAAAGACGAGCCACCCTTCCATTTGCTTAAGCCCCTTGATTAAAAAAACAATAAACAAAAAAAAAACATGTCCGGGAACATATAAACACATTCAGCAAGTAGAAGCACCCATCCGCAATGCGGAAACACTTGTTGGATGCTCTCATTGAACAACAAAACCCTCCCCATCGCAAATCTTCGCGCATTTCGCATGCCTCGGCCGCATCCTCCAGGTGGGTCACCAAATGCCCTGAGAAGATGCTCTTCAAATAGGTCTCGTCCTCAAAAGAAACCCGTCCCAAAAAAGGCAAACAGGGATTCAGGGGCGCGGCTGAGCCACCTGTTTAAACCGTCACCAAACAGTCCACTTTGCGGTTTGTCTGCGAGCGATGCCAGACGAGCCGAGTCGCAACTCAGCTTCCCTCTTGGTGGTTTGGCGCCGATTCGATGGTTTGGAGATGGGCTGAGCCACTAGAGCCAGGGGTGCAAATCCCCAGACCACCAGTTGAGCCTGGAGGAAAAGAACACAAGTGCCGTTGCTGCGAGCGAGCCCCTTATCTGAAAGCACGTTTTGCAGGTGTTCGGAACGAAGAGATCCGATGCCGGACCAAAGATACAGCGCTGGTGTCCGGGTTGTCATTGACGCGTTCCCCGCCGTGGGCTTAACCTTGTTGTCAGGGTTATACCCCAAGTGGCTAACTCAGCGAGTTTATCTCGCCTCTCCGTGAGGACTGCCTCCAGAGAGTGTTTTGCTCTCCGATTGCGCCCACCTCCATGTTTAAACGTTTTGTTGTCTTCCGTTTTAACTACCAGACTTTTGCCCCCAACCCAAAACCATATGTGGAGTTGGTTCATAGTTTGTGGACCTTTCCCAGTTTTACTCAGCTCTATGTTCTGGGATGTCCAACCCCAGAGATAAAGCGAACTTGAAGGGGGTACCAGGGCTCCTCAAACATGTCTTTCTCCCTTGCTTGGCTCCCTGGTCAAGGGGTACGCTCTGGTTTCCTCGCCAACTTGCTTTGAACCTCACATGGAAGAATTTCAGTTCAGAGATCCCAGTCCCGCTTTGCAGGGGTATTCATCTTTTAGCCAGTCGCAAGTACCTTTGTCTCAACATGGTCTGAACACGCGCCTATTTATGACAAGTGGACTTGCCCTGAACCTATCAACTCGGATGTTGATTGGTTCACCTAGTCAACTGAGGTAAAAAAATGTGGCGCTTGGATGGTTTGGCCGGGGCACCTATGTTGACCCACAATCAAAACCAGGGTAGGTAGGTTAGTAAGGGAAAATCCCAACCATAAATGAGTGGCTTTTCATTTTTGTTGCATGGTTCTGGGGTATACCATTTCCATACCAGGTTTTGACTATGACTCAATTGGATTTCGGTGGTTTAACCAGTACTCAAATCTGCTTCCTACCTGGTGCGCGCGCCACATCACGCCACCACTTCCGAAAGCTCACTTTGAAGTAACAACCGAAAGGTGATGTTCAAAGCCACCCAGGAAAAATAGATAGAGCGATAGAGAGATAGAGAGATAGAGAGAGAGAGAGAAACAGAGAAAGAGACAACGAGAGAAAGAGAGAAAGAGAAAAAGAGAGAAAGAGAGAAAGAGAGAAAGAGAGAAAGAGAGAAATAGAGAAAGAGAGAAATAGAGAAAGAGAGAAAGAGAGAAAGAGAGAAAGAGAGAAAGAGAGAAAGAGAGAAATAGAGAGAAAGAGAGAAAGAGAGAAAGAGAGAAAGAGAGAAAGAGAGAAAGAGAGAAAGAGAGAAAGAGAGAAAGAGAGAAAGAGAGAAAGAGAGAAAGAGAGAAAGAGAGAAAAGAGAGAAAGAGAGAAAGAGAGAAAGAGAGAAAGAGAGAAAGAGAGAAAGAGAGAAAGAGAGAAAGAGAGAAAGAGAGAAAGAGAGAAAGAGAGAAAGAGAGAAAGAGAGAAAGAGAGAAAGAGAGAAAGAGAGAAAGAGAGAAAGAGAGAAAGAGAGAAAGAGAGAAAGAGAGAAAGAGAGAAAGAGAGAAAGAGAGAAAGAGAGAAAGAGAGAAAGAGAGAAAGAGAGAAAGAGAGAAAGAGAGAAAGAGAGAAAGAGAGAAAGAGAGAAAGAGAGAAGAGAGAAAGAGAGAAAGAGAGAAAGAGAGAAAGAGAGAAAGAGAGAAAGAGAAAGAGAGAAAGAGAGAAAGAGAGAAAGAGAGAAAGAGAGAAAGAGAGAAAGAGAGAAAGAGAGAAAGAGAGAAAGAGAGAAAGAGAGAAAAAGACAGAAAGAGAGAAAGAGAGAAAGAGAGAAAGAGAGAAAGAGAGAATGAGAGAAAGAGAGAAAGAGATAAAGAAAGAGATAAAGAAAGAGATAAAGAAAGAGAGAAAGAGAGAAAGAGAGAAAGAGAGAAAGAGAGAAAGAGAGAAAGAGAGAAAGAGAGAAAGAGAGAAAGAGAGAAAGAGAGAAAGAGAGAAAGAGAGAAAGAGAGAAAGAGAGAAAGAGAGAATGAGAGAATGAGAGAAAGAGAAAGAAACTGATGGTTTGTGGCAGCAAATGTCGCTTGGACAAAAACGCACAGGTCCTCCTCCAGAAGCTGCGTCTGCGCGTAGGGCACCCCGCCCTCCTCGTAGTGGCCTGGCAGAACAGCTCCCGGCCCCCTAAAAAAAGCAGGCCCAAAAGCGGCCAAACTCACAAGCGGCGACTGGTGAACGTGGGAGGATGAACGAACCAAGCTACTCTTTCCGATTTGAACAAACTGTGCCCAGAATCGCATTTCATCTCTACCCTCCCCACTATGGAGCCGGACGTGTTGTTGGAGTCCTGGAAGACCATTCTCCTCAAATAGACCCTCTGGTGGGTTCCGTGATAGTTTGCTGGAGGGCCCTTGCAAAACGGTCGTTAGGGCCGGGTTTCCATCGCTTTCCCTTTAAGACAGCCCCAAAGGGTACCAAGCCGAAAAGCAGACACGCCCACATTTAGGGCCCCTTACAACATACACCTAAACATGACCTAGTACATGCAGAAAGGGTTGCGGCTTGCAATATGCTCCTATCCAGTTTTCGGAACCCCGGCATCGTTTGGGGGGGGGAGGGAAAAGGGGGGGCATCAGCGCTCGCGGTTTGGGGAATCATGGAAGCGAGCGCCTGCGTAGCGGTAGACCCGCAGGGGGCACATGCCCATGTCGCTCTGCTTCAAAGTCAGGGCCGCAAGGTTGAAGTCCAAGTGCTGACTGTCCACCTCTCCATCCCCCAGTCGATGACCCCAAAGGTTGCACCATTGGGGCATGAACAAAATAAGCAGGGACCCCTTTTCGTGGATAATCGGTGGGGATTCATGTCTGTGAGCTCGGTTCCAAGCTCTTTAAATAAGACCTGTTGTTCATCCCTAGGAAAATAAAGAGTGCTTTCTCTGGACCCACGCAAAAAGATCCCAGCAATGTCCTAAGCTGAAAAGCTGCGATTCAGAGGAGTCGGCCTGAACATCACACCTGTCACCTGAAGGTGTGACCCACAGCCGACAAAAGGCACAACTCAAAGTACAACGAGACCAACGGTAAGACCCGGACATCGCAGATTGGTTGAGACCAACACCGGGTCCCTTAAAGTTCCCCTTTGAGCATCACCCCACCAAAACAAACAACCTAAAGGTGATGTGTAAAACCACCCCTCAAGGGCAGAGTCGGAACTCTGGAGAAAAACCAGCTGTGCGTATAAGATGGTACCGCATCAATTATGAAAACAAAAACAAAAAGCACACCTACGAGAACTGAGAAGCCCGGGGCTTGCGAAGTAGAGCCTCAAGATGTATGTCTTCCTTTCGTCTCCCCATTTTAACAACCCAAACAGGGTACGCCCAACAAGTGGTATCCCCAACAGTGACTCCGGAAGGAACCCGCAGCCAGCTGCTCCGAAAGTCGCGGCAAACCAAGCAGATCGCCGTCTTTTGAATGGAGCCCAGCAAAAAAAAACTGATCTTTTGACTGGTCCGTCTAAACAAAGGAGACCCCGAAAAAGCCAAAGATCAAGAAGGGGAGCTAAGTCTGGGGAAGATTCGTGGTTTGTTTGGTTCAAATCTCAAATCAGTCCGCACCAAAGGGGTACCAATCAAAAGAGATACCTGGCAAGGTGGAACATGAAGCGAACCAAAAAAAATCAAGAACACATACCAAAAGCAGTGAAGGCAGCAAACCCCCAGCCACCCACCCACTCAACCAACCCAACCCGATACCATCCAATAATCCAAGTATTACTCAATTTAATATAGCATCAATATATCCATGCATAACACTAACTAGTACGTTGAACCTATTATGACAAGACATGGCAATAGTCTATCTCAAGAATGGACATGATCCATTCTGGCAGCAGCTGCCTAATCATTCACTGTTGTTTCAGGTTTGAACCCCACCCCACCCCACCCCACCGCACCCCACGGCTTCGGAAAAGGGTAACAACGAAAAGAAGCCAAGCCACATCAGAAACTTGCGCCCAGTAGCTCCACATGATAAGAACTAATCGCGGAGGTAGTTGATGTAACTATATGAGCATATGGCAAAAACAAATGATGAAATCCAGCTGCTACAATACCAGATACCCCCTCCCCCCCCGGCAAAAGCAACCAACCCCCCCCCTCTTCCCAAAGACTCCTCCCCTCCCAACCCCACTGGCGCCATCCGCCATCCGCCATCCGCGCCTGGTGCGCCCGGGCGTTTTGGTTCACCGCGCTGGCACCGCAGCGGCACTCCACGTCGTCCACCAGCGCGAAGATGTCCAGACCCTCTGCTCGCTGCGTTCCGGTCACGGCTTCGAAACGGGCTAAAACTGACCCAACCACAAAAAAGACCTGAGGTGAACGTTTTTTGGTTGGATGTGTTTTACGAATTGTGTGGAGACCTGAAGTGCTTGTTTTTCCTTGGTTGGACTTTTTGTGAATTTTGTCGACCCTCAACACTGCCCAGATGAGAGATGACCCCACAAAATGATGGTAATTCCCATTTTCAATTGTAGTTTTCGGTGCCGGAGTGCCTGCTTTTGGTGGAACAGGTAAGTATATTCTTGTGCGGTAAGGGAAGGTAAACGCAAAGCCAGCCTTTGACCACTGATTCCAAGTGAGCTTTCTCTGTATGGCTGGAGTGGCATGTAAAGGCGAAATGCGAGTCTTTCTCGCTTTCTCTCTCTCTCTCTCTCTCAAAATGGACCCCCCTGATTCAGATGCCTTTGACTGGGCAGCCAAAAGATTCTTTTTGAAAAACATCTTCGGCGTGTCCTCAACCAAGTGGCTTGACCCCACATGAACCCCTTCTGGATGCTCTGGGGAAAAAAACAGTGAGCCAAGGAATGTGCTGCCAGGCCTGAAACCTAGCCCGGGTCGGAAGATGGAAGGGTGGCACTACAACTTGGCCCGCAAGGGTACACACAAATGGGCGGGGGGACCCAAGATGGCTTCGCTTCTCCTGTTGGGTTCTCTTGAAAACCACAAAAATGTTCCTTTAAACTGATGTGCCCAAATCATATTTTCAGACGCGGCTTCATTTTATAGTATCCCCTAAAGTGCAAAAATAATTTTGGAGACCGAAGAGGGGTCAGCTTTGCCAAATGCCTGCAAGCAACCAACTTTTCGCAGAGGGCAACTTCTTTTTGGGACCACCGCAGCAATCGAAATTCCGAATCAAAGGTGGTGATTCTTTGTCATACCCTCCAGCAAACAAACATGGCCCAAGCCCAAAAATGGGTTGTCCTCAGATCCCCTGCTGGAAGTTTAACTTCTAGCGGGGTAAATGGAAATCCGCACTGAACCCAAAGCGCCTAAAAAGCTAAGGGGACGGCTGGAACCTGCCAAGAAAAGGGTTGTCTAGGTCATGGCGGCAGGCTATGTAGAGACTAAGGTACCTGCTTTGATTGCCATGCTGGGCCTTTGATCAGGGTTTAGATATGTGCCTTGACTTTGGGTGAACAAAGATTCCCGTCCCCACATTATCCCCCACAAAGCTCCCCCCACCCCTGCTTTCCAGCCAGTCCCTGCTTATCAAATCCCGAATGGATCCTTAGTTACCAAAAGTCGGCTTGTTTTTGCTGAGCGCGGACGTGGGGCGTCAGACTGTCGGTATTCCTATGCCCGGGTGGCACTCCGCTCGCCCCCGGCGTCCCCGTCCAAGCCTTACCGGTGCAAAACTCGTAGCACATCGGCGGATTCATGGAGTTGCTCCTCTCACTCTCGCATGGGGAAACACTGACTCCTGGTCTCCGAACTCGCGGCCCTAAAAAAAAATGCGCTCGCTGACATTTAGTGGGGCAACACACCCCGGAGCATCCAAGGGGGTTTTCAGGGAGAGGGGGTTTGAAGCTATGCTACACCTTAGCTTGTAACACGGTACCCTGATACAAATGTTATACAGCTTCCCTCGATTTGGCGATTTGGATTGGTGGTTTAGAGGTTGATAAGGGGTGGGGCGTCCGTTTACCCTCTGCCAGGGTTTCAAATGCAAATCCCCGAGCCATCAATCCAAACCACTGACAACAAAGGGATACAGGTATATAACCTCGATACCGGCAAAAGCCCACTTCCTGAAAACGCCCACAACGAAAATGGGTCTTTGCAAAATACGTCCCTGTGGAATCGCTGATCAAAACCTCTGGACAACCAAAAAATCCTTTGTTGATACATGTATACATATATATATAGACATACACACATCCACCAAAAAAACACAAACACCCTATAATATGTATATATATATATATACATGTCAAATGCATTTGTATGTATACACATGGAGAGAGAGAGAGAGAGAAGAAAAAAGGCATGTTGTATATACATTGAACGAAAAAAAAAAAAAAAAAAAAAAAAAAAAAAAAAAAAAAAAAAAAAAAAAAAAAAAAAAAAAAAAAAACTTTCAGCTTGCCCATGCCATCCCGCTCCTCATAGAGTAGAAAGGCACTCCGCTCTTGCACGGGACAGCGCCTCTGGCAGGGTATCAAGGGCAGTTTCGGCGATAGGGCTTATGGATGCTTATTTACCACCAATATAAGCTTGTATGGCACTGCGTACCCCTACACCCCGTATAGAAGTTGTATCTAACCTCCATACCTCCAACCCCGCACTGCCTGGAAATGCCCCTGATAGCATTTTCCGAACATTCACCCCAGAAGGGTGTGGTAATGCGGCAACTGGTCAAATTGTGTCGTAAGCCCTGGCTGGTGAGAAGTGCCATGTGTCACCTGGCACCTGCTCTTGTTGAAGGGCTCGAAGTTAGGACCGTCCCTCGGGCTGAAACAAAGTGATGACTTTGAGAGGAGACTAACATGAAACCGATGAGGTTTCGGTCTCCGCGCGATGCTCTTGCAATCTCGCCCGTCATGATGATTGCAACCCTTGGCGGAAGGATGTTTTTTCCAGGTTCGGCGGGGCGGTCCCGGCCCAGGAAAGCCGCAGAGGGTTCACTTTTTTGAACAAGGTGTTGTTTAGGGTGGGTTTGGGGAGATAGTTTAGTCCTGGTTTAGCATGGGTTCAGGGTGGATGGTTTGGGGTGGGTTACGGTTTGGGGGGGTTCTGGTTGGGTTTGGCTGGCTCAGGGATGCGTGCCGGTTAAATGTGGGTTTAGGGTTGGTTTTAGGGTTGGTACCGGGTTTGCTTAGCGCTTGTTTAGGGATGATTTTTTGCGGTCTAGGGTGCTGGTCAGGGTGGGTTGCAAACACTCGACGCTAGCTGAGACCGACCGACCGACCGGCACACCGACGGCCCTTCCACGGCCCACCTAGGAGAAAGAAGAACTTGGGGCCCGCAACCCTTCCCTATCCACAAGATTGGGGGATGACCCTCTTGTCCACTAACATGAAACCCACCAAAGGCAATCCTTGGATTCCAGGACCCCTCAGGCAGGTTCCATGTTCGTGCACGCCGTTCAAGGGGCCCAGACGTCTCGCTGCGAGTACTCTTTTGCTCCTCCCTGAAGTACTCCTTAAAGGCGAAAGTCCAAGAAACCAGGAAGATCACCAAGCACCCACCAAACAAAAAGTGGAGCGTTGGGTCTGTGCCCAAAAAACCCGGCCCAATGTCCTGCTGGGTGTCTCGATGTTCCGTATTTCTTGGGGACCCCACCAGAATGGCGGACCGGGTTTCTCTTTGGTCTTTCCACAAAAAGCACCAGCGTCCCAGCTTGAAACCCCCTGGCTTCTTTTGGTTAGATCCCCAAAAGCTGAGTTGCAACTCCCCAACTCCCCAAAAAGAGACGAACAAGCCACTGGTTCAGATCCCGGGCGCCAGTGTAGCTCATGCAGCTGAAGTCGTAGGCCGACGGCGGCGCCTGCGGCGCCGGCGCAGCGTGGCCCGCCACGCGCTCGTAGCACCCGAGGTCCAGGAAGTCCACGTCCAAGTCCTCGTCCCCACCGCCTGGCGAGCGCTTTGCTCGCGGCTTCGCGCGCGCGCGAAGGCCAAAAGCACCAGTCTTACTTAGCAGAACTGCCAAGGGACGGATATTTCTGGGCTTTGGTGTTCTTTGGGGGGTGAAAAAAGGGTGGCTTACCTCTGGTCAAAAGGAAAGCCTGTTGCGCCGTTGTCGTTGGCATAGGGGACTTCAATACTCGCCTTTTTGCCCCTCCGCTTTCACCGGGCGGTCCGGTTTCGGATCCGCACACAGTGAATAACTTGTGGGGGAACAATCGGGAAATCCCGCACAAAAAAAATCTACAAACCTAACAGATGGCTTGCCACCAAGTGAAGACCTTGGATCCTTTTCTGGAATCAAAACCAGAATCAGAAGAGAGAAACCGCTGGGTCAGGAAAAATGAAGAGAGTCTTGAAGCGAATTGGTGGCTTGGAAAGGTTGTGGGTTTGGAAGGGAATAATTTCGCATCGACCCGCAACAAGAACCAGGGGATTAAATCCCCAAACCGCCAATCCAAACCAACCAAGGAGTTCCCGAAAGAAGGCGCGAAAATAGTGCAGTCAGTCGCAACCCTGCGGGGCCCGGTTAGTTTGTGCAAAGCGAAACAACCACAAAATACGGAGTCGAACTCCAGGCTTGGTCGCGGAAGTCAATCGGGAGAAACCAACAGGAAACCACCCGGACTACGTTAGGGTCCCCACATCTGGAGCCCCAACAACTAGGCGCCATGCCTGCCATCCGCAAAGGAGGCGTGCCCTAGTTGCGCAAGTTTCAAGTCCCTTGGAATCAAACATCCCACGCAAGTCACTCCAAATACCAACCATCACTTCCCTATTAATAGACACCGTATTCCAACAACGGATGTTCTCTGCCCCCAAATCTCCCAATCTAGCAAGACATAGTCAATACCAAACCAATCCGAAACAAGCGGATTTCCCCGCGACCCCAACGGCAGTTGCAATGGGGGAACAACACTCAAACAGTACTAAACCAATTTGAATTCCATTCGGAACCAGCACAAATCCAAAAAACATCTTGCATGTCTGCTTCAAGTTAACTTCCTTACGCGGAAAATTGCCGTGGTGACACTTTTGCAGGACCCCATCTTGACGAGGATCGTAGGCAAACCCGCATGGAGAATTCATTATAAGTGAGAAGCTATTGCTCTACTCCCTTCTTGTGGTTCGGCTACAAAACACAAAACACCAACCCCGATTTTGCCATGCGTAAAGAAAATCCTGCAACACGTCCATCCCGGTTTTGCCCCCTCCCGCCAACCACCCCCACCCCAACTCCACCGCGCCTTGGGGCGCCACGCACCTTGACCGGACTCAGACCCGCAGTGAAACGTTGTGCTAAGGCAAAAGGATGGAAGCCGTTTTAAGAGGGTGTGTCTTTCTTTGACGGTACCCTTAAGTGCTACTTTTCAGGGGGGAACCAAGAGGAAACAAACCATTTTTTGTGGTCCCCAGTTTAAGACACACCCAAAAAGTATAGTCTGGCAGTGGCACATCTGCGTCAGGTTCGCGTTGCACGGCAACTCCGCACAGTCGCAGCTCTTCGTCGCGGCTGGCTTGGGATAGGCCGCGCAGAGCGTCTCCGCCACCGCAGCGCCGTCGAAGATGCGGAGGCAATGCACGCTGCGGATCTGCAGAGAGCCTGCAAACGGTTGCTGCACATGTGCCTTGCGCTTGAGCTATTTGAGGATCAGGCTGAGCAACTCTTTCGGATTGGGGATGTGTGCACTTCCTTTCAGGGTATGGCCCCAAAAATGGAAGTTGCCCTTTTGGTTTCTCTTTAAACCGACCTGACAATACTGCCCTCAAAAATCCACGACATGTCATATGTCCAAGCAAACATACTTCCCCGAGAAAAAAACAAAAACAAAAACAAGCTCACTTGAAATTGGCAACCTCTCATTGGGTTTAAAACCACAGAACCCCAGGTTCCGGGTGCAAAGGGCGAAAAGCTTGTGGTCAAAACCCCCAGGGTTTGAAGCTCATCAAATGCCCGCCTGTGTCTGAAAAAAAACATGATGCGGTGAAGCGAGCCTTTCTTGCAAGAGGTCCTTTTGGAAACGATGGCAAAAGATGGATCCCGTAAAAAGCACCCCCCCTTTTTGGAGCGACACACCTATCAAAAGTTGAAATGACAAAGGGACAAAGGCCAGCTGAGAATCTGTCTGAAAAGACACGAGTCCTCCAATTGTCAGGATGCGCATCCCAGAAAGAGTGGTTTGTCTTTTTTGCGACTTTTTCACGTCTCACCAGGGCGCCAGCGGGGCACTGCACGCAATCCGAGAAGGGCGTCGCCACCCACGCGGCCGCCGCCGCCGTGTGCCCCGGGTCCACGCGACGCACCCGGCGATTTCGGCGATGCTGCTGAGCCTCCTGAGCTGGCTGGGGCGTTGGCAGGAATAGTGTGGGACGGTACAAAATGAGGAACCCCCCATTTCCCTGGTCCGCTTGAAAAAACTCGACTCGACTTTGGACAATTAACTAAAGAAGAAAGCCTGCCTTTTGGGGCCACTGCACCAGCTGTCCCCTGTCCAAAATGAGGAGCCCTCACAAATCAGGGGTCCGCCACTCAAAAAATGAGGAACCCTCAGGTTGACGGTAGCTCCGCTTGAAAAAGATCGACTCGACTTTGGCGTCTCCTCTTGCTGCACCACCGTCTTCGCCTCTTGCTTGCGCTGCAACAAGACCCGGCCAGCCGCCGCCGCCTGCTCCAAGCTCATACCATGGCTGGATCCAAGCAGAAGTTGTCCCATTTTTAATTGTTATATATATATATATACTTATTGATTTTTTCTTTGGGGGGGGGGGGGCGTGGGGGCGTGAGATGGGGGCCCTCAAGCGGTCTGAGACCTCACAAGAAAACAGCCCCGATCAAAATCAACCATTCTACTTCCAATCGGTTAAGCGGTTCAATGCGAACGGAATAGTACACCCTCGGGTGATTGATAGTGGTTGTTCGGACCTGCGGTGATGCCCTAACTTAAGTTGCCAAAAAATTAGGGCCACCCCCACCCATTTGCTCTTCGGGGATCCTGGGACCCTCTACCAGGTGATTTCCCTGGCGTGGGAGGGAACCAAATTTACCCTCTCTCACTAACATGGCACCTGACAGGGGCTCCCTCCACAAAAGGAAACTCGTAGGTGCCTCCTAGGTGCCATGCAGTGGGAGAGAGGGTCGTCCTTGTCCTTTTCAAAGCAGACGCTTCCGAAAGAAGGAGCCCCGGACCCTTTGATCTTGATCCTCGCAGTGATTTCCACTCAAAGGTTGATCAAAAGGCCCATGAGCGTGGGATGAGCCTTGGTTGGAAACCCACCAAAACGGCGATTCAACTGCTAAATGGCACAAATTGGGAAAAGTTACCCATGGTCATTTGGGGGCCGAAGGGAATATTTGGCAGGAACCGAACTTCGCGCGGCCTCGCAACTGCCACCGACGCAGTCACCAACTGCTGCTTGAAGCAGCGAGGCACACAGCGCCGCTAGCAGGAAGGCGGCTCGAGCAATCATAACTCTTCCTCGGGTCGAAGGATCCCCGAGCGAACAGGTTGCAAGAGGTGTGGCTTTGTGCAACAAGCGGAAAAGTTTGCTGGTTCGTGGGGAAACTAGCATCTTCCAAATGCCTGAAATAGCGCAAAGCTCATACTGAAGTGCAGCCGAGCTTCCTGTAAGGAAAAGCGAACGGTTTACGTTGGAGTAAAATAGCGATAGCTTGGGCCGGTCAAACGGCGAAAACGTCTGAGCATACCAAAGGAGTGTTTGACTGTGCCACTGCGGTCTGCTGAACTCACCGTGAGATGTTTTGTTCTGCTGTGGTGGGCGAAATCCTGCACCACCTAAGAAACCCTGGAAAGATTGGATTCCCGGCAAATACCAGCAATGGATTGCCATACATTTAGACAACTGCTTTGCCTGGCACAGCCCGCAAACCCTCGATCGCCAACGGAACCGCTATTGAACCCAATACACCATCGACCATTTAGTGGCACTTGTTTGTCTGAGTCTTACTAGGGCTTTACAGTTTCTTACAATCCAAACTGTATTGCAGGTTGGAGGAGACCCCAACAGTGCGTAGTTCCCGTTCCACCTCTGAAACCCCAGCAGGCTGGATTTGGTCTGGACCTCAGAGCTCGGGGGAAGGTGCCAGGAGCGTTGCGCGGGAAAGCCAAGGAGAGCCGAATCGTTTCAGGGTCCATATTGACCTGTCCAAACTCAGCAGTCCCTGACTTCTCAAGTCCACTCGCCAAACCCAGCAGTCCCCAGCTTCTCGAAAAAACGCAAAGCTTGATTTCGGAAAGCCCCCCTTTCACCAATGGGCCGCCCGGATTCGTCACGCGCACTGTTTGCTTTTCCTGACACACGATGGCGCCCGTCAAGACACATCCGGAGAAGGCAAGCCGCAGCTTGGGCTGGGCATCGAAAACTCGAAAACTCGGGTCAAAATCTGGTCTGCTAAACTAAGCCACGACTTCCGGGCTAAGGGCATCGGAACCATGCACCAAATATAACTTTCAAGGAAAGCCTGGTCTTTTCCTGTGTGGGACCTATCCTGCCTCCTTTTTCTTGGCAACGATTAGGATCGGCACCTTTTGACGGTACCGTACATGGTTCACCTTTCTTCCGATAGTGGGTATGGGTCAAAATGCTATACAAAAAGAAAAACGCGCGCTTGCGGCTTTCATCCTTTCCATTTCCCAGGCTTCCAATTTGGGGCTACCCTTTTTCTGACCATGAACTTCTTCCAACCGGTGGGGGTCGAGTAAAAAAAAAAACGGTCCAGCACCGCTGGCTCAGGCATCGTCCAGAGCGGCCACGCCAGGCAGCACCTGGCGGTTGAAAAAGTGTGGCGCTTTCGGGGGATTCCATGCGCTTCACTTAGTCATGGGGGCTGGGGGGGGAGGGGGAGGGAGCCCTTTTTGAGCCCTTACTAAGCCCTTTTTAAGGCCTTATTTAAGGCTTATTTGGGCTTTGGGCTCTCCCCCTCCCCTCCCCCCCAGCCCCCCTGACTTAGGCTACGGATTTTCCTTGGGGACCATTTGGTGGACAAGTTCGAAGAATCTGAATTAAAATACGCAGCCATATTGGTGCGTCTCAAAATGAGGGCATGCTCGGGGTTTAGAGGGGGCCGTTGCGGTTTGGTTGTTTTGGTTTGGTTTGTCGGGCGGGGGGTTGCTCCATGGGTGTCTGGGCTTACTCCATAGGGAGGTCTCCGTTGATGGTACCCTTGTTCGTAGCCCAAACCTTGCAAAGACCCTTGGTTGAACTGCTTTAAACTGGCTGGCGGAAAAACAAACTGCTCTACCCTTTTGGGTGTCCCTTTTGTAGGTGCGTGAAATGGCGCCACGTGGAGTCTTACCTTGTATTGATTGGGTTTGGGGGGAAATTCACAACTTGGTGGCTTCCCGACTCGAACACTGGTGCGAGACCTCGGGTATCCCACCACCAAAAAACAAATCCTGTTGCACTGTTGATACTGTGGATGGACGAAATCCTGCACCACTTTGAAACCATTGGAAACCATTGTTCGTTGGTATGAACGTTGGGGAATCATCATTCCAAAACTTCTCAGATGGTGCAGGATTTCGTTCATCCACAGTAGGGGAGTGAAGGGTTCCCACTTCAAAAAACAAAAGACACCCCTATCCATCAACCATATAGAAATCCGGGTAAGCATGGGACCACTTCTGTAATGCCAGGAACCGTACCAAGAAAGTGCGGGAGAGTGAAATTCCAACCACCTTGCTTACTTGAACAAAACAATTTGATTCTTCATTGTTGTACCTTGTCCACATGCATGCAATACAATTCGAAAGATTGTGAGTAGGAACTGTTCCGCATGTACGGGTACCCTCCCAATCCCAACTCCATTTACCAGCAATCAGAGGCAGGCAACAACAAGCAGCCACTGGCAATCAAGGGAACCCTCCAAATGAAAGGAAGATGTCTGGCCACCTACCATGATGACTTGGGTCTAGGTGACCTGGAAAAATTGATGGGTGTTCCCGGTGAATGGGCCAATCTAAAGCCAATCTAAACCAGCGGAACTCATCCATTTCCACAACCTGAAACGGACACGTGAGTGCTTTTCCAAATTGATAAACCTCCAGGTGGTTTCCTTTTGGTTTCCTTTTGAAACCATCCAAAAAGGGGTGGATTTCCGACTTTGCGACACACCGACTTGTGGGTTAAATGGAAGCCCAACCAAAACCAAACCCATCTGGCCTCATTATTTCATGGTCTCGGTGAAGGGGAAACCACCAGCTCCCCGTATTTTCCGTGTTCTCCCCCTAGAAACCGTCAAAAGAATCACCAACAACCCCAGTTGTTTCAGTGGACCTCCATACATACTCCCGACCCTCTTGTTTTGATTCTAGCCTCTTAAGACGCGTTAAGCAAACGGGAGAGAAGTTGCCCAAAAAAATCACCCAACAACCCCAGTTGTTTCAGTTGACCTCCATACATACTCCCGACCCTCTTGTTTTGATTCTAGCCTCTTAAGACGCGTTAAGCAAACGGGAGAGAAGTTGCCCAAAAAAATCACCCAACAACCCCAGTTGTTTCAGTGGACCTCCATACATACTCCTCCATCGACCCTTCTGTTTTGATTCTAGCCTCTTAAGACGCGTTAAGCAAAAGGGAGACGCTTAGCCGTTGCCCACGACAACTTCGGTGCCCCAGCCCATGGCCCAGGCTGCGCGGCTGGTAACCCGGGCGCAACGAGCCGGCGCGCGCCCTGCGCGCGCGCCGCCGCGCCTTGCCCTCCAGAAGCTCCAAAGAGGCACCGCCGCCAGTGGAGCAGTGGGACACCTCGCGGCGCAGACGTCGCGCACGCGCGAGGAAGCCCACGCGAACAAAACACCAGCCCCCGAAAACCAAGAAACTATGTCTTGTTAATGGCTTAAGGAGGGCTGAAAAGGGGCTTGATGAGGGAAGATTCAAGGCTTATTAATGGCATAATGAGGGCTTAATAAGGGCTCAATAAGGGAAGATTCAGGGCTTCTTAAGGGCTTTTAAGGGCTTAACAAGGGCTTAATAAGGGCTTAATCAGGGAAGATTCAGGGCTTATCAAGGGCTTATCAAGGACTTATTAAGGGTTTTAGGGTTTGGGTTTCAAGGTTTGGGCTTTGGGTTTGAGAGCCGAAAACCTCAAGATCCCAGATTGGACATGTTCCAGATTTCTCTGAGTAAATCCTGATCCGACTCCTAGAAAGTTCTAGATGTCCAAATCTCGAGATTTCGAGATCTCATAACCCAGATTCTAAAACTCAAACTCCAATCTTACGGTCTTAACGGTTAAACCGAGTCTCACCTTTTAAAATGGTCGAGAACAACCGATCAAACCCAGTTTTTCAAAATGAAAAAAATATACGGCCCCCCAACTGAAATCGAACTTTACTTTTCAAAAGTGGTCGAGACCAACCGGACCAACTGTTCCAATCCGAGACCAATTCATGCGTGCTAGTAGACTTTAACAAACTCGCCCGTCCGTGCGTGCGTTGAAAACTGCAATCATACAGTTTTGCCAAGTCTTTCCTTATTTTCGGACCGGTCAATTCGAGCACCGCTGCGTTTCAACACTTGCAAAAAAGAAAGATTGACCGAGACCAATTGAGCAACCTGACTTTTTGGGCGGTCGGTTTTGGAGTGTCTGGAGGTTTTAGGGTTTAGGTTTTAGGGTTTTCAGGTTTAGGTTTTAGGGTTTCAGGGTTTGGGTTTCAGGGTTTTAGGGTTTTAGGGCTTAGGTTTCAGCGCTCCACCCTGCACTCTGGAGCTGCTAAGAACTCATTTTGGACAAGGGCTTGGAGAAGTCCAAGAAGGTAAACCAAGGCATTCTTGCGGCAGTTTTGAACAGAACTCTCCCGATAAGCAACAACCCTCCAGATTCAGCAACTGACCCAACTATTAAGTCACAGTTCAAACCCGGTTTTCAACTGGTCAGACCAAAACCATGTACAGAATCAGAAAGCCCGGCGGGGCCACCTGCCAATGTCAATGCTGACCCAGGATCAATCAACCTCTGGTTGGCGTTAGAGAGAAACACCCTTCTCAATCAACCACATGAATCGGGGGTCGACATCAGGCAACAAAAAGCATCGTGCTCTCTGGAGGTTTCGCGGAGTTCTGCCGACTTAGTCCGGTATATAACTATGGCTAAGAATGGAAGTTACGGATATAACCACCTGCTCTAGGCAAGCAGATGCTCCAAATCAGCTGGTCAATGTGGTGCGTTGACTGGCGTAGCTGCGTGTCAACTTTAGCTTGGCCCACATATCCTTTCAGATTCTGTTTCATATTCAGACTGTTGCTCCTTGAAGTCACTGCCCTCTCCCCCACAATATGGCCCCTGACTTCTTTTTCTTTTTCTTGTTTTTGTTTTCTTCGGGCACTTCAAAAATCGGTTGGTTCTTCGTTTGGTTTCCCTTTCAACCAACCCGACAAAAGATGATCCGGGATCACCCAAACACGGTGGCGCCTTGTCCACGGTGTCGTACTTCTTGCAGGCCGTGGCAGTGTCGCCACCCCCGATCACCGAGACAGCGCCCTCCTTGGTCACCTCGCCGGTAGCATCGAGAATAACTCCTGAATAAGGCCTTGTTGAAGGGTTTAGCTTGTCCTGCGCGCTTCTTTTCCGGGAATAGCCCCCAGCCCCACCCCCCCACCCCCAATTTGTCCACTTCAGGGAAAGCCAGGAGGTTCGTCAAATAGATGTGGGCTTTCCCAAATTTCAAGGGTCCCCTAAACAAACAAGTAGCCTCTGGCCACATCCAATTTCTACTAGACGGCTTCCTTTTCACCCTCGAATCGGACGCCGGAACTGTCCTTGTGCATGGGGCAGCTGCAGCTGGGCGGGTTCCAACCGAACCACTTTCAACTTCGGTCCAAAAGAAGCCGGACATGAATTGGAATTGGAACCTGGGAACCTCGGTGGCGAAATCTGCGAAGCCCTGCAAAAAGTGAATAACTTTTAGTGGTTTAGTACGGAAAACCCATTAGTTGGCAAAAAGTTGTAAAGTCCTTACAGCCAAGCAAAATGCACCAATCTGGTCTCAAACCAGGGCCTGGGATTGGCGGCCGGTTTGGCAGTGTCTCCCTCTCCCTGTTGATTTCACTTTCAGTCCAAGAAATTGGACATGTAGGAATTGGAACCCGGTCCAATTCCTAAGGCCCAGATGGGCGGTGTTTCCTTTTTTTGATTTCGAGAGCGGCGGCAAAACCCGCCTCCACGATGGTCTCCATCATCTGCTTGGTTCCCTTCTCGAAGGAAGCCATCTCCTCAGTTTTCAGACCCGCGGCTCGCTCGAGACCGCGATTTTGCGAGACGGGGAAAAATGGACGGGTTTCCCTGGGCAATAAAACCAATCTAGACCAGTGGAACCCGTCTATGTCTCACCAAACTCACCCACAAAGGAGACCTACGGTCGTTCACCTTTTGACCTCAAACTCCACCGATTTCCCCAGCTGCCGAAAAGGCAAGCAGGAAGGGATCCTGTCCCAACGGGCAAACAGGGTTCTTTTGAAATGTCCCATATCCTCACTCCCCAGCCTCGGTCAACATTTCGCCCGAAGCGGGGCACGTTTAAACCACAGAAAGGACATATGGTACCCCTTTCAATTGGCTGTGAAGGGAAACCAACAGGATCAAAAGCAAAACCTTTTACAAAATGGTGGGTCCCCTAAAACGACGAGAGACCCATATGAGGACCCAACAAAAGATCTCAATGGAGGGAACCGTTTTGGCTGCGGTGAATTCCACGGGTGAAGCCTGGCTTTCGGACAAAACAAAAAAAGACCCGAAAGCCAAGTTGACCCAAATTCATGCGAACTTTGGATTAATACGAGTGGATGTCACATGAGGACGCCAGAAAGTTAGGAGCCCCTACAATGCTTAATTTCCTCAGAGGGAACCACTCCGGATTGGCACGGTTCGTCATCAATCCGAAGTTGACATTACCACGGGTGTTGCCTTCGGCCTTGCCCAATTTTCAAGGGGGTCGAACCTGAACTTCCCTGAAGCTGTGGCTTCCTATCAAAGTGCCACAAGTGACAATATGTGAATCGTGCGTACCGACAAAAGTTGTCGCACTCCTTTGCCCCTCGCGGGGAACTTCGACCAGTAGTTTTCCGTGGAAGCAACAAGTTCCTTAAAACATATATGTCAAAATTAGTGTGGCACATGCAGAAACATTCTGAAACAGCCGCCACCAGCGGTTTTCAACATGGCCAAAGCAACGAGAAACAAGTCGACCCAGCTTTCTGGAACGCCTCATGCCAGAGAGGCTCAACCCTCCAGCAGCTTCGACTCGAAGCGAAAAAAAAAGCCCAAGGCGCGAAGACGCCCATGGGGCCGTTCCACACGATGGTCTTGGACTTCTTGATGGCCTTGGCCCTAAAACTTGGGGGGAAAACAACAGCGCCAAGGGAAAGTAACAACCTACCTTCATTTAAACAAAAGGAATCCTTGAAGCAGAAGCTTCAAATTATGACTGATATAACTCTACAGTCATCTCAATCTGGAAAACTTGAAGCAGTATAAGTGTCCAATGGATACAACTCTAAATCTGGATCGATGCAGTTCAGGTCTAACTCTATTTGCTGAGATCTCCGTTAGGCTGCCCTTCAAATGGGGCCGGCTTGTTTCTGTAGAAACCTGCTTTTGAGGTCCTTTCCAGGGGCTGTTGAAACCAATCGTCCAACGTCATGCCACTGGTTCCACTCCCTCTAATTGAAAAACATCCAAGGTTTCAAACAGACCAAACCCCTGTTTAAAACGAGTAGATACAGGTAAACACTCACCTAGAAAACTAGAAGGAAGTTGTTGGGCAAAAATGCCGTCCCTTTAGAAGCCAAGATTGTCAACCGCTGGTTGAGTGATAGGGCAGCGTGCTCCCAAAAAACAACTCAAGCAGACAAAGTACAGGCAAAAACCCCGCAAAAAAGTCCCCCAAAGGTTGACAAACACAGTAAAATCAGTAAGAATCCTGGGACCTCAGTTAAAAGTCCCCCAGAGGTTGACAAGCAGACGAAAAATCCTGGGACCTCAGTTTTCGCAGGGAGTCAGCCGCTCTCGCTTCGCTCTCGCTTCCGTGGATCCGAAAAGAGCTCGGCTTCAGCCGTTGGCGTTCTCAAACGAACATGGCGTGAACCCAAACCCAAGAACAGGTCGAAAGACGGAGCGAAACCATCGTCGCGCCCCCCAAGAGTCTAGGATTTTGCCGAGTCAAATTAATTCCATGTCCACGTTTTCGTGACTTGTTGGAAATCATTCATTGAGAGGGAGAGCTACTGTGGATGGTGGCGAAATCCATTTTGCACCACCTAACAAACCCTGGAATGATGATTCCCCTGTAAATACCAACAAACAATGGTTTCAAATGGTTTCACAGTGATGCAGGTTGTCGTCCATCCACAGTATGACGCAACTTGTGTTTATATTAATTGAACTGTTGTTGTTTTATACACTTCTTTTGGGTTGATGGTTCGTTGGTGAAAATGACATGAGATATGTATATATATATATATATAAGGTATACACATTACAAGCTTAGTGGTGGAAGCTTTTCCGTTTGATGATGAACAAACTATGCCTGTCATCCCCTTGAATACCCAAAGTGACAGTAAAGACGTACCACGATGAATGATTCCGGCTAAAAGGAAACCGCCCCTGATTCGTACGGTCCTGCTGTTGAGAAAAATCCTTAAACATGTCGAAAGTCTTAGCTGGCTGGTGCACGGAAACCTCCAAATCGGTTGCAATCCGTTTGCGATCCGTGGCTTTGTGGCAAAACAAATCGCCATCATCATTTGCACGTTTCGCCAGCATAGTTGTGTCTCTTTGTTGGATCAATGTTCCTATTTGTTGTTCAAAACCTCTAAAACCACCAAAAAGGGGCACAAGCACATGAACCCAAAAAACAACACCATTTTAGAGCAATCTCCTTTTGGGAATCAGACCCCTTGCTTAGGGTTCATTCCATAGAATTGCAGAGGAAAATATATAGGGTTCCGTTCCAACGTTTAAAACCATGGTTGGGTTTATTTAACCACCACTGTTTTCTGTGGATTCTCATCAACTAAATTGGGCCTTGGGCCATTCTCAAGCCTGCGTCCAAGGAGAAAAAACAGCGGGGGGGCCCTGAAATCTAAGGAACCCGAACGGGCCAATGTCCACCGTCCGGGTCCAATCCCTTCGGTGAAAAAAGGAAAAAGACAAAAAGGCCGGCCTCGTCGTTCATCTCGATGGACTTGGGGCCAATGTCCAGGCCCAGGAAGCCGTCCGGCACGCCGGTGCTCATGTCACCTCGGCCCCGTTTGGCTCCCGAAGAAGACGCGGCAAAACGGAGCCGTCGGGGGCGGGTGAGTCTTATTTCCTGTTTCCTTGTGGAGTCCCTGCTTGGAGGTTCGATTCGGCCAAGGTAAGTGGTTGGCTACTTGGGGCTTTTGTCACCCCCCAATAACAAGGTGCCTGGGTTACCGACAAGTTTCGAACTTGGCAAATCGAACACCCAAGTGCTAAGGGCCCTTAGTCGGGAACCGAGCGAACCCGTTTCTTTATAAGCGCAGGAACCCGAAAAGCTCTCAACTACCCAACCTCCCATCCCTTAGCTTCTCTCCCCAAAAACGCCACTTACCAGGCGGTTGATCACCTTGGGCCAAAGAATGAGAACCGAGAAAGGGCTCAGATCTCACCTCTTGAGTGGATCGGCCAGAAGTCAGGAAACTCGGAGGAACTCGGAGCGAGCATTTGCTCAGCTTCCCCTCATTTGGTGGCCCGGTTTGGAGGTCAGGGCCTGGTGTCCCAGGGTTCAAATCCCCAAACCGCCTCCAAACCACCAAGGGAAAAACCTGATTTGTGTGTATCCAGAAACCCCCACTCCAACCCCCAAACCAACACAAGAGACTGACCCGCCAATCCAAACCGCCAATCGCTTGGGTCCGGATCGCTCCCGGATCGCTCCCAAGTTCTCCCCTCCCGCATCCGCCCGAGGCAGGCGCCCTCCTTGATCTCCCCATCCTCGCCGAACTTCGAAGAGCAGATGAAATCCACCGGCAGGATGAGCTCCACGCCCTTCCTCACATCCATTGCCCCGGTTTCTTCTCGCAGGTTTGTTTTTCCAGTTTTTCGCCCACCCAAAAAGGGGTGGGGTACCTCTAAGGAATGTTCGTTTTACCATTTACGGCTCCTTTAGGTGTGACCCAATCATGGGGTGGTTGGACAATTACTGGAGAAAACGCGAGTAATCCAGGTATTGGGAGTTCGGAGCGATCCCAGCCGGTTCTGCTCGCGGTTTTTCGCCCACCCAAAAAGGAGCGTCCGGAGATCCCAAAGCCCACGGCGATGTGCGGCCGGCGTGCCCGAATTGGGGGCCCCAGTGCGCGCGTTTGTTGGATTCGGTCCATAGTGAACCTAAAACCGTAAAATGATGTCAAAGAGGTCCCAAGTAAGTTGTTACTACCCCTGGTCCAACTTATGACTGGGCCAACTGTTGAGGGACATGCAAGCGGGAGGGGGGTTGCCGCCGGGTGAGTTGCCTACTGGGCCGAATGGCCCGAACGTCCGAGCACCGGCACGATGGAACTTGTTGGCCCTTGCCGCCTGGTTTGTCCCATGTGGCTCTACTGGGAGGGACTTGTGGGTGATTGAAACCCACTGGATTTACAGTGGCTTTAGTGCGCTTGGGGTCACCCAAGCGCCTCTCTGTTTTTTATCCCAGCTCAAAGTACCCAATGCAGGTAGCCCTCAATGGGTGGTTTGGGATTGGTGAGGATGAGAACCCATTCTTGTTGAGAGTAGATGAGACACCATCCGACCTCCAAAACCACCAATCCAAACCACCAACTTGCTTGCCCAAAGCAAGTGAAAATAGAAGCTTCGCTTTTTGGTGTCACCAACAATCCACCAACCTTTTGCACAAACTCCCATTTTTCAGGATCATGGTTCCCGTCTCGATCTTTGGCCCACATGTTCCACCAAGAGGCCAGCAACAAAAGCGCCAAGCGTCTCCTCCGCCTTCTTCTTGATCTCGGGCACCAGCTTGGCGCCCTCCGCGTCGTAGAGGGAGTCGCCGATGTCCACCCCCGCCTCCTTGATGAAGGTGAAGGCCATGCCTACGGCGGTCAACCTTTTTGCTGATTGAAATAGGCGGGGCGAATGGGCAATAAAACAAACCTAAACCAGTGGAACCAATGGAGCCGAACAAAAACTATTGGTTTTAACCCAACTAAACTAAACTATCCAATCTAAACCAGTTGGAACCCCTCTACTTCTAACCCAACCAACCGATTCTACCTGGACACCCAGCTCGCCGGTGAATCCGAGCTGCCGCCGCCGATGATCATGATGTCCACCTTGTCCAGCAGGTTCATAATCAGCTGGATCTTGTCCGCCACCTGGACAGGACCACAAAGGAGTCCCCAGCGCCCCCCAGCCCCCCGGCCAGTTTTTGCATACCCAATTTTTAGGGTATCTTTGCCCAAATCTGGGGTACGATGAAAATATGACATAGTTTTGGAGGAGAGCCCCCCCCCCCCCCCCGGCCCAATTCAGCGTTTCTTAACGAAAGTCAAGGGAAACCAACGTGGACCACCATTTTGAGCATACTGTATACAAATGGTTGGTTGCCTGTCCACTCTAGGCTTGGCCAGTCCACATAGCCGAACCCGATCCTCCGATCAAGCTCCATTCCACACTTTTCTCTGCAAACAGAATAAATACTTGGCGGGTGGGGTGGGCGGGGTGGGTGAATGGGGGGGCAGTGAACGGCTCAAGCATCATGTTGCCACGCGCGGCGATGCTTGAAACAGGCCTCCGATGTCCATCAACCGCAAGCCCGACGGTCGGAAAGGAGATACAACGGGTGCGTCTTTTCTATGGGACCCGCAAAATGGTGGCTGTCCTTTTGGTTGAATTCCCTTTAAAAACAAAGAGGAGTAGCTCGAAAAAGACACTCCCAAATGCCTTGATGTTTCGGAGACTGGGTTCCGACTCGCCTGAGCTTAGGCAGAATCCTTGGACCCTTCGATCGTGCCTGAGCTCTAGCCCGAAGGGGTTTGTCTCAAAGAAAGGTAACCCCTGAAATGGTGGGAGTCCTTTTGGTTTCCCCTTAAACCCACCCAGCAAAAGATACTGGCAGAAAAAACAACCCATAAACGTGAATCTACCACCTATAGCTCCAACCGGAGTCTGGCAACCGCGGCAAAAACAAAAAGCAAAAACATCAACGCAGCCAAATTGTTCTCAAGACTTCGCCGCTGGCGATGTTTGCCTAATGGCTGGTGATCGAAGTTCGCATTGAAAACTAAATGGACGAAGGAACTTGTGGGGGGCCCAGGCTTGGACATCCAACTGTGCGCTCAGGAAGATCAAGCAACAAACTGTCGTCCAAATTTTCATAGCTGGGCGGGGATGGCATAGTTTGGCGCTGTGCTGAGTTCCGTGTTTTCTGGGATAGCTGAGGTGCCATGCTTTTCTCTTTAAAGATGGTAAGCATGAAGTGGCTCGGCTCCGAATTCCTGAATGCCTTGCCCTGTCGATGTTTGGACACCCTCCTTGCTTGGACCCCGCTTTGGATGTGAAAAGAACCAAGCCAAGAGAAAACCAATACCCGCCAAGAGGAAACCAGTACCGGCCAAGAGAAAACCAATACCGTCCAAGAGAAAGAAGAAAAACAAAGACAGGAGTGAACCAATGCAACACACATCCAAGTTTGAAGCCTGCCGGACCCCGGGGGCCTTTTTTGTCCTCTCACTATCAGTCACTTGTGGTTGCCTGGGATGGAAATCTACCCTTGCGCCCAAACCACTCCATTTTAGTCAAGGGGCTTGAGTAGAGTTTTAGTAAGGACTGCATAAACATTCATCAGCATCCTAGAAACAGAGGTCAACCGGATTTTGGCACAGCTCACCTGACAGGGATCCGGATGCACCTGAACATTGCAACTTGTCAATGGTGTTGTTTCCCTTTACTTCGGTGTTGAAAAAGCAACATGTTTCAAATGGTGGCAAAATGTTTTCGTTTTTTGGGAGATCAACATAGGTGGTACATGGGGGTTGCATAGTCACCCGCCCCAAAATGGTTCGGCATAGGTTCTGACCCGTGGCCATTCCCGGCGCTCCATTCCCGGCGCTTCGTCATTCCCGGCGCCTTGGCTCCGCCCAGGATGCCGCAGACCGGGCGCTGCGGGGCATCCACCACCTTGGCGAAGTAGTCCAGCTCCTCACGCGCCGCGCGCAAAGACAAGCGCGGTGGGTGCCACTGACGTGCTGAACCTCTCCCGTCTCCCGCAGTTGGCGGGAGCCAACTCCCAAGATTTGGTGTTGGTGTTGGTTGTTTGAATTGTCAAAGTGGTGGTGGTTGTTGTTGGTTCTCAAAGCTTCTTGTTGCTTGTTGCTCGATTTTGTTGGCTTGTACGTTTGTTTGGGCTTTCCTGTCGGTACCCTTTGGAGGAACTTTTAAGCGGAAACCCCAAAGATCCTTTTGCTACAAGCCAAATGTTCTGGAATACAGCCACAATATGCAGGCAGCTTTGGGTGTCTGTACCCTCCCACCAATTTACAAAAAACCTGACGTTGGCGTCCTGGTTTGGACCATTGTCCTTTCAAGGGACCCCCAGTCATGTTCCAGGGCAACCTTTTTTGGAGGAAACCATGGTGGGTTTCAAAGGGAAGCTGATTGGAAACCAGTCACTTGGAGGTACGTTTGCTGAGTTTTGCCGAACTTAGTTGCGACCCCTCTGTTGGTCCGTGTTCAACGGAAACCACATGAAAAAAAGCCATTTCACCGGGGGGGGGGGGGGTTGCCATAAAAAAGACACACACAGACACACACACAGACCCTCATGGAAGCGCAGCCGATTCCGGACATCACCCATCTGAAAGTCAAACAGTGACCCAAGAGTCATAGAAACCCGAAAAAACAACTTGAAACAGCATTACAGGAGATTAAACGCAAGTTGATGCGAACTGAAGCCCCTTTGCTGGTTTCTTGGAGAGGTTTCTTTAACAGCCCAACCCTCTCTGGAACCATCCCCCGGCTTCAGCTGTTTGGTTCTGCTAGGCACGGTTCTGATAGGTGTCTTGGTTTTGTTTAGAATTTCGGCTTGGTTCTGTTAGGTTCTCAGATGCAGAAGTGTTCCTGGGTTTGATACTTGTTAGACTTGCTGGGAACACACCCACCACCACTTGAGGGGTATCTGATCTGATTTGGCAACAAACAAATGAATTCCAAGGTAAAATATAGACATTCTTCAGCTCCTCTTCGGAAAACCCGAACAAGGCTCCAAGCAAATGGGTCGACTCACTTTTTAGGGAAACCCTTCCCAGAAAAAGTTGCAAGGGAGCAACCCGCTGGGCAGCTGGGCGTTTGCTACGCCCAAAGAAAAGCTAGAACCAAAAGTTTGCAGCGTGCAACTCTGCCACGTTGTGACACAGTAGCTTGGGCCTGGGGCTGGCAAGTCAAAGACGACACAAAGGCATGGGTCCGAAATTGTGAACAAACATCTGCGAATCAAATCTTCCCAAATTTACCCTCCCAACTAACATGGAAGTGTACAAAGCCCCTTTTCAACAGAAAAGTAGTCTTTCGGTTAGTCGGTGGAAGGGGAATGGGCATGAAGCTACAGCCAAGTACGTCCTGCGGCCGTTTTTGCCAAAGCCAGGCGCTGGATTACATTGACCAAGCTCTTTTCCGAGCACATTAACTTTCGACTGGTCTTCAGTTGCCCCTTAGAGACCTGGAAATAAATGTGATCACATGTTGCCCATGACTAAAAGTGGAAAACCCAAATCAGGGAAACCAAAAAATAGAAAGGTCGGCTTTGGGCGAGTGAGGTTCTTCTGATCGCTCAGCTTGGGGTGCCTCCAGATATGTTGGAATGTTGATCATCATCGTCATCGTCGCTGTCCTGTCCGCTAGACACATTGCCGTAAGATGAGTCACGACACTTGGCAGTTCGAGTCAGCCATATCCGAAGGCGATTCCAAAGATCTACTCCCATCCCGACAATAGTCCACGCGAAGATCATGCAAAGCAAACGAGCGACAAGGACAGTGCGACTAATGTGGATGGGAAGTCCTTCAGTACCTGCCCATGTCTGCATATCGACAGTTGCAAGGGTGCTCCGATTTAAGAAATCCACCAAGCGAATACCCTCCGCTTCATCAAAGCCTTGCAGAAAGCACAGCAGTATCGGCACGTGCAAACAGAACATGCCCCATAGGCTCAGCGTCTGCAGCGTGAACACCGCGGCGTCTGGACCTCGCTTCTCCAGCCGCCAGACCGATAAGGGGATGAGCAACACTGAGACGGCGTACAGCAGGCAGAGAAACCCAAAATATCGGCGGTGAGCCCGGTGACCTACATAAACGTCTGACAGCAAATCCAGTGCCGTTTTTGACCAAGCGAGCATAGAGAAGGAAACCCCAGTCGTCACATCAGTCATTCCCGCCCGCTCAATGTTCAAGCCATTGTCCCAGGAACGCCGTAGGTTGTCTGTGTAAGCACCTGCAGTCAACAGAATGCCGATCACAGTCTCCACTTCATCCTCAGCACCAGCAATGGCCTGCCTGAATCTTTGTTCATCCTCAAGTGCTGAACAATGTGAATCACGCAAGGAGTGGAACTGCATCATGTCCTTCTGCTCTTCGAAGTGAGCTTTCTCACCCTTCAAGATCACAAGCAAGACGGTCACCGAGGCATTCATGAGAGTCAAGTTCGAAAACCAACCGTAGCGGAAAAACACCGAAACCCAGTTGTCGCGCTCCAGATATGTTTCAACTAAGGCCCAATATTCCATCAGGACAAAAAAACATCCAATGAAAGTCAAAGCTCTCATGATATCTAAAGACCAGTGGTGCCAACAGGGCACCACCAACAGGAGGGCCAGCAAGGAAAGTACTCGGTAGATCAACTCCAGCCAGCTGTATAGACCTGTACCGGAAGAACTCCCAACACATTGCTTTAACCTCCCGCAAGAAGTCCCGCAAGAAGTCCACAGAACAGAACAACGCCGACTTCTCGGAACCAATATTTACAGGTCTCCTCTCGATCTGAAACCACGGGCAATAGATAGATCTTATTCCATTTGGCTCCAAGATACGCCTCGAATACACACCAAAGCCGTGAGCACACTCCCGTGGAAGGATTTGGAACTACTAGCAAGTGCGATGCTTTCTGCAGTGCTAAAGCGAACGCACTTTCGGCCAGATTTCCTCCAATAAATTCATCCAAGTCCAAATTCTGCGGATTTGAAAGAAGGCAGCAGTACAGGTTGCGACGTTGGTAGAGCTGGGGCCATGCCACTTGAATTCCCCGTCGAAGGTGGAAAATTCCTCCACGCCAGGATGCGATGCAAAGACCTCACACTCCAAACCTTCAGGATGCTTCATCAGAGCATAGCTGGCACCTCCAGCTTTCAACGTCATGGGGATGGCTATTTACATCATGTAGATTAGGCCCACTGCATGGGATCCCAGTGCAATGAATTTGTTTGATTCGGCTCATTGCAGGGGATCAGACCTGACTCCCATCATCTATGGACCTCTTTCACGAAGTTGAACTCAGATCTGGAAAAGCACCATCTGTCAGCAGGAACTGCACGGTGCAGATCTCTGGCGCGCTGAAGCATGGCATCATGGGCCACGGAACGGACCCAGCGGACCAACTGAGATTGGCCAACCCGGGAAAAAAATGGAGGGCTGGACCAAAAGCGACACATCTCGATGGTGGCGTGAAGTTGGATTCTGCCAAACCAAACGTGCAATGGAACGCAAGAAGGGCACATGGTGAGGTGTATGGTGCAAAAATTATTGTTCCTTGGCCAATGCAGGACATGCTTGCTACACGACTGGTGATCGGTGGCTGCAGTTCAAGCGGGAATATGGATTGCTTGATTCCGCAAGTATGCTCTCATCTGCTGTACTTGTACTTCCTGCACTTGAAAGAAAAATGGCTGTGGCTCAATAAAGTGGTACCAAAATGGCACCTTGGTGACTGGATCCAAAGACTAAAACCCGCGTAACCATCTGCTCTACTTGTACTTACATGTACTCAAAAGAAAAATTGAGCGCTCAATTGACTTCCGGGGCTCGACTTCCGAAAGTCAAACCCTACAACTGCCCCACCTTCCGCTTCTTGCAGCTCAGTTTAGCTTGCCTGTGCCTAGCACGGGCCTAGCAGCTCACCAAAGATGTGCGTCATGGCCGTGCCCGAGACTTTTGCAATGTCTATTCCCATGACTTAGGATTTATAGCTTTTCTTTGCTCATCATTCAGTCAAGGGCAAAGATGTAAGATGGTCCCAAACGTTGACCCTGAGGCTCCTGACCTTCATGACCAAAAGGTCACCCCAAGCGAAGGAACCGGATTGTCTTTTTTGCAAGAAGGCACATACTGTGGGTGGTTGAAATCGAAATCCGCTTCTCGCACCACCGATCAGACACCCAAAGGAATGATGTGTTTCGCCAAAAAAAGAGAAGCAAACAATGGTTTCAACCATGGTTTCAAAGTGGTGCGAAATGGATTTCGTCCATCCACAGTAACGGGTTCAACCATGGTCTGAACAAGGGCTTGAACCCAAGCCTAACCACGGGGTTGTTCCCCATGAGACCAGCTACCGAAAGTCAAAAACGTTTAGTGGGATGTGTCATTCGGGGTGACCCCTTGAGTCGGTTCTAACCAAATGGATTCTACACATCATTGCCCCGTGCAGGCAATCGTAACCTGCGTGCAGCACCTGATTCATCGAACGCTTGTGCAAAATCCACTGCTAGGACAAAAAACCGTTTGAGAGGTGCTTGGCAACCCTTCGAGACGTGTGAACCTCTAGGTTTTCCCATGGGTTACAGCGAAATGCTCAGCAGGTAAAGAAAAGTCCACATGAGCCAAAGGAAGCCCTATGCGTGGGGGGGCCATCCTCAGCCGTAACAAAGTGTGCAGCCCCGTACTACTGTGGATGGTTCAAATCGAACCCATAAAAAGCACCACCGTTGAGAAACCCTGGAAGGGTCCCATGGAATCATTAAGTCGTGCGAAATGGATTTCGTCCACAACATCAACGAACAGATCCAAAGGATGAGAAGCAAACCTCACACGATGCAAAGAACAGCGAATATGAGCCTGAGTCACTGTAAAGTGGTTCCCTTAGTACCACAGAAAGTGGGCCCGCCCACTTCCCACCATGGCCACCTGATTCTGAAAATCCGAAGGCCTGTAAGTGGTGCAATCCGCGAAATCGCGGTCCCCCAATTTTGCAAATCGCGGTTCCTCTAACCAACCAGACAGGGATCCACAATTCTCATGGCCCACAAGGGACGGGGTATAGTGCCAAGACAAACTGTTTCTGCCTGCATTTCCTGTTTCGCCTGCCTTAGACAGTTCTGTTTTGGGTGCCCGCCTGGGTTTCTGTTTTTGAGGGCAGCTGGTTTGAAGGGAACTGGTGTGAAGGGCAGCCCCCAAGCCCCCGGGGGGGGGGGGGGACGCTGGAACGCACCTCGCCCAAAAAACCCACGTGCCTTGGCCAAGAGGAAGCCGGAGCACTTGATGTCAAAGCCCTCCCCCACCATGGAGCCTGGAAGTCTCTTTTGTTTTTCCCGATTTGGACCCGAAAGTTGTTTTTTTGTTGGTTTTTTTTTGGCCGATGTCATGATGTGGACCCGAAACAAATGCACTGAACATGACACCATGTTCTCAAGTCGCTGTGTCTGACGATTTGGACACAAGTCTTGCCCCCCCCCAAAAAAAAAAAAAAAAACATGCACTGAACCTGACACATGTGATCCTGCTATAATGTTGACCCACTATGAATCAACCCCTGGTATTAATAGGGGGTTGCCGGCCCCTCCAAAAGTGGTCTGATTCCCCAATAAACCCAGATTGACAGCCCCATATTAACAACCAGGGGTTGATTAACATGGGGTCAACATTAACCATATTCTGGCTACCCGAAAATACAATAAATTGTTTGGAGAGCCAAGGTCTTGGCTCTTAACCAGCAAGGGGGAATGTTAACCTCGGAATCAAAAGGACCGTACAATGCTCAGGGGCGGCTCCCTTTTTGTAAGGAATGACGGGTCTTCCATGGATTAATCCGAGACAAACACCCAGAAAATGACCTATTGTCTGATCCTGCTAACCATATTCAGTCTACCCAAAACTTGCTTGGAGGAGAACCCAGAGATGGCGGGTTGGTTTGGGTGCGGGTTGGTTTGGGTGTCCGATTAAAAATTCCCCCCGCCCCCACAGCCTCAAGAAAACGAGCCACGCCCGCTTTGCCGCTGAATGGAAAGGTCGAACATTTAAGAAGTACAGGTCACAACGGCTAGGTTTGGCGGCTTGGAAATGGCCCTACCGTCGGAGCTAGTCGCGGTCTGAAGACCCTGAACTTGTTGCCGGTTAGCACGGACATGTTCTCGAAAGCGGAGATGCACAGAAAATCATGCGTTCAGATTTCGTGTCAGAATCTGAGTCTACCCAAAAATAACATCCTTTTGGAGACCCAGAAACCAAAAGGAAAGCCATCTTTCTTGGGGGTCCCTGTAAAACAAATCTGTGGAGTCTAATGTGCAAAGTGGGCGTGTCTTTGTTTGACCCCCCAAAAATGGACTTCGGTGTTCCTCTCTTTAAAACCACAAAACAAACAGGGGATACCCGCAAACATGCTTGACCCTTTTGGGGACTCAATAAAATGGAGAGTGTACTTTTGGTTCCCTTTAAAACCACACCAAAAGGGGGGGGGAACCCTCAAAATGCTTCAAAATAGGGGACCCTCAAGATGGCTGGCTTGTATTAGTTTGTTGTTGGTATCCTTTTCAACCAACTCTTTTAAGGGTACCAACTCAAAAGCGAGGCATCCATTTCGGTGGCGAAAGTTCGGAATGACACAAATTGATTCGAACAGGATTTATCTCCAACCATTTTCAAGGTTCCCCAACAACACAAAACGGTACCCAACAACCAAAAAGTGACCGGTGACGTCTGGTTCGGCAACCCTCCTCCCCCCTTTAATAATTGAGAAGAAAATGAAAAAAAACAAAGAGAAACAAAAAAAAGGAGGAAAACAAAGTTGATCCGATGCCCGGTGAGGCGCTGTGGGCGCGGTGCGCGGTGCCAAAGGCGTCGGAGCAGTAGATGTCCGCCAGCTTGGCCAGACCCGCGCGGAAGGCCTTCACCTCGGCGATGGCCGGGGGGGTTTGGGGGGGAGAAAATCCCCCCGAAAAAATATGCAATGTGATGGATTCTGTTTTGGGACGGCCAGAGGGTTTTGCTGGGATCTTCCCCCCCCAAAAAAAAATGGCGGATGGTGTCTCTGTGCGGGTCTGGGGCTCTCAGAAGGGGGGCTCAGGTCCTTCATTTCAGCAAATGAGTCACCATCAAAACCGGTCTGGACCATTCCCTTTAGCTTCAGCCAAAGTGACCCATTGTCTTCCCAAAAGTAAGCCAGAAGCAAAACCGGTTGGTGGCTGAGCCACCATCAAAATCGGATAGGATGCGGACCCCCTGAGATGGTTCCGTTTGGTCTGGAGCCCTGCCCCTTGGGCGAGACTGAAAAAAAGGCGAGCCACACTTGAGTCATATTCAAAACCCTCTTTGGCTCGTCCTTTTTGAGGCTCGGCGCCTTTTCATTTTTTTTGGCTTGGTTTACAGGAAGACGTCTGTGGGAGTCCCCGAGAAAAGTTTAAAAGGACACAGAGCCATAGGAGTCACTATCAAAACCCGGTATTGAAATGGTCGTAATCCCATAACCATGCTTCAAAGAATGTGGCGGATCTCCGCGGCTATTTGTGGCAAGGGGATTGTCCCTTTCTAATCTTCAGCTACCCGAGTTTTGATTGCGGCTCACCTTGGCGATGGACTCCTTTTTTTGGACGGCCAGGGGGTTTTGCTGGGATCTTCCTCCAAAAAAAAATGATGATGAGGAAATTGGAGCCCTTTTTGGAGGGTTGTTAAGAAACACCCTTTGTCAGTCTGTGGTTTGTTGATACCCTCAAATGGTGGAAATATCCTTTTGAGTTCCTTTAAACCAACCTCCAAAAAATCACTGGTTTCTCTTTGCAACCTTCAAAACATTCCACAAGTAAGTTCTTGAAGTTGTGTCTCTCAAACGCCACCACCCGTATATCCCACTACGCCCCGGATTCAGGATGAAGCAGAACCACTTTTTGATTTTGACCGGGGGTGGCCCCTTTGAATGGGGGTTCCGACCACTTTTTAAAAGGAACACTCCCTATGCTAGGATGGGTTCTACTTAGATCCGGGGTCGACGTTAAGAATGAGATTGTCAGGTTATTAGGTCATTTTGTTAGTTGAGTCGGAAGGACCCTTTTGGCTTCCTAGCAGATCCCAAAACGGTTCATTCCCGCTTGGTAATTCCCTCCCAGTAGTGCTGGCTTCTTAGCTTGTCAAGTTTGCTCCTTTGTCAGGTTGCTTGTCAGGCAATATGTGCAAGCTGCTCACGAGTTGGCTAGCTTGTAATTTGCTGGTAGGTTCACGTGCCTAGTGTGTTAGCTTGTTAGCTTGTTGGCTTGTTAGCTTGCCGGTGTTAGTCTGTTAGATTGAAAGGTTGCTTGCATGACAGTGAGCCGTTGGCTCGTTTGCTTGATTGCTTGTCTGTAAGGTTGTTAGTGTGATGATATTCTGAAATATAAGCCAGTATCTCCAGGGATACGTATCATTGGCGCACAATGCGCAATAAGGTATTGTTGACTTTAACTTTGAGGTAGAGCCTGTTTTACAAATGCTTGTTGGGACAAAGTACGAACTGCAGAAAGTAAGCCGCACGAGCAAAAACCGAAAATATGTGCACAGGGCGAAAGGCGGCATTGCGCTGCACTTGGATGAACAGAGGGTTGGGCCCATTCTCCACACAAAGGGACAGACGTGCAGTTGCCGCAAAAGGGACGTGCACCCCTTTCGGATGGTTGGGAAAAATTGACTAGAACGCACACCAACTGCGTTCAACAGTCTAACAGTCTAACAGTCTGGGCGTCCTTATTGAAACGTCGACGTTTCAAAAGTAGACCCAAAACATGGATAGTTTCCTTTTGGTGTCCCTTTACAAACACTCAAAAGGGGGTATCCTCCCACAATCACACCCGCTTATTTTCAACCGAACTGACCTGCAAAAGGACGTGATGGCCCCAGCTCGCCTCCTCATCAGATGCCTTGACCTTGTTGCCATCCGCGTCCTTGCCCTTGCCGGTCTCCTGAGCTCAAACAGCTACAGTCATGGGTGGCCTTGTGAAAAAATAGATGGCCCTGGTAAATGGAAGAAACCCCACCTAAACCAGTGCCATCTATTTTTAATCAAACTAACCTAAAAAGGACACCTATTGAGTCCTCTTGGTTTTGTGTGGGATGGGGGTTGTGGGGCATCTGAATACAAGACAAAGTTGACTCATAATGACGAACTCAAAATGTAACCTCGTTCAGCACAGGATGGGTGTTTTCCCCCATAGCTATCGCTTCTTCAGAAGCTTCCGACAAAAGAAAGAACAACCAGCCTTCCTGCTTAGAACCTGAAACAAAACAAAGCAAAGAACGCGAAGTCCGCACCCCGGCTTTTCCTTGCCCCACATCTTGGGTACACAGAAACAAATAGGTACGACTCTTATTCATTCGGGTGTCGTTTTTTTGGGGGTAGCTTCATGTTGACTGGTTTTACAAAGAAACAGCAAGGAAACCTAATTTTGAGACAAACCCACAACAAGGTGTCTTTTTGTGGAGTTGGGTACCCCTAGCCTACCAAGGAAAGCCAAAAGGAAAACCACGTCCTCTCTTCTTTTTTGTTGGGGGGGGGTGTCCCCCCAAAACTAACGACGCGCCACCCCTATGATGTCTCGCTTTGTTTTTATTTAGAAGTATATATATATATATGGTACCCCCCCCCCCAGGGACCTACCTTTTTGATGATGGTATTTGCAGTGTTTTCTACCCTTTTTTGGGCTTTGGGGAGAGCAATGAAAAGAAGCATTTCCAAGGACGTTCTGGAAGCTTCAGGCTTGATTGAACCGATTTAAACCGATTTATTTAAAGCGGGCATGGATTCAAGATTCAATTGAATCCAGGAGTCGATTTAAACCGATTTAAACCGATTTAACTTAAATCGGGCATGGATTCAAGATTCAAGATTCAAGACTCCCTGGAAAGGTTTGGCCTGGATTCTTGAATCTTGAATCTTGAATCCATGCCCGATTTGAGTTAAATCGGTTTAAATCGGTTTCAATCGACGCCTGGATTCAAGATTCCCTGGAAAAGGTTGGCCTGGAATCTTGAATCTTGAATCTTGAATCCATGCCCGATTTAAACTTAAATCGATTTAAATCGGTTTAAATCGAGACCCAAATTCAACATTGCACTTTGCGCGGCTGTACTTTGGCACAGTGTTGTGCAAGCATCCAAGTCCTGATTATTCGTTCAATCTGTTTCAATCTAGGCCCACATTCAAGATTGCAGGTCAAAGTTTTCTAGGGAATCTTGAACCCAGGCTCAACTGAAATTTCAGTCGGTCTCAACAGGTTTCACTCGGGCCTGGACTTGCGTTTGCAAAGAAGACTTGTCTAGAGAATATGGGTTCTTTCCTTATCAAATCCTGTTAAAGCTCAAATATTGAATTGCAAGTATATATTGGGAAAGGAACTCTATTTAAACTCGCAATCTCAAATTTGATTACCATTAGGATCCTGACCAAATATTTCCGTCTTGAGCCCCAATTAAATCCTGTTCAAGTTCAAATGAGCATTTAAAGAGCGTTCGTTGGTGGGGATGTGAATTGAGTATGAAACACGCTACACAACACTGTGTTTTACGGTGTTTTCTGACCAAGGTAGTGTTAGGACTAGTGAAAGACACAAGTTTGGGACCTTTGGATTCTTTCCTAATGCATTCCACTTAGTATGTTTTATCAAATTCGACCTTATTCCTGATTGAAACTCAATGGAGCTTAAGAAGGACATACTCCAGCCAAAATTGCGATTTAGATTCGAACTTAAATATTGATTGTTCATGTCAAATTAAATGGCACAAACGATGTCCTGTCCAATAGACCATTGTACATTGAAATTCAATCACTTTCAGAACTAGCTAGTCCTAGTTTGGTCCTAGTCCTAGTTGGGAGATCCTTGGTTCTAGGCCAAGAATGATCCTAGCTTACTGAAATACATAGAACGTATAAAGGACATTACAAAGGAAGTGCGTTATGAATTGTAGTTAATCAAGTTCTATGCAACTTCTAGCTGAACAGTTGAATTTGAAATAAGGAGAATATCCAGTCAGAAATTGCATGTTAGGACCAAATATTAAACAGGACTTTTTTCCCACCAGAATGTAATACTTGACATCCAAATTCTATAAGAAGTAGAATTGAATGGTCTAGTCCTAGTTTGGTCCTAGATGAGAGATCCTTGGTTCCAGTGTTAGGTTGCTCCCTAGTTTACTGCAATAGTAAGAAAATATACAGGACATTGCAGAGGAAGTTATACTTGAAGTTCATTTTTTGTAAGAATCTGAGGTGGGTCGTCTAGTCCTAGTTTGGTCCTAGTCCCAGTTGAGAGATCCTGGGTTCTAGTCTCATTTGGTCCTGGTCCTAGTTGAGAGATCGTTCCTCCCAGTCCTAGATGGGCAACTCATGCACTGGAGAGGCAACCAAAAGGTAGGTCCCTGGGGGGGGGGGTAGCATATATATATATATATAGGGGGGGGGGGGGGTAGCATATATATATATATATATTTATATTTATATATATATATATATATATATTATTGGGCTCGTTCCTGGAGCCCTGCAAAAATCGAAAACGGGAGAGAGACGTCCAGCAGCGTCCCGTCTCCACTCCCGTCCTCCACGTAGAACCGGGAGTTCTCCAGCAGGATCACGGAGCCCTTCTTGGGATCCGCGCACGCCTCCTCCACCTCTGAGCCGATCACGTCCTTCATGAGCTGCACCTTGGTGCCCAGCTTCTCCTCCACGACCTCACACGGGGATATACATACATGTATACACATATATACTGAGTAGGTGTGTATATATACATATATATATATATATACATATATATATATATATATATATCTGCGTATGTGTATGTGTATGTGTATGTGTGTGTGTGTGTATGTGTGTGTGTGTATGGGTATGTGTGTGTGTGTATGTGTATGTGTGTGTGTGTGTGTATGTGTATGTGTGTATGTGCGTGTGTGTATGTGTATAGGTATAAGTATATGTCAGTATATGTATATGTATATGTATAATATGTATGTAAGCACGTATGTATTTACGAATGTTTGTGCGTGTGTGTGTGTGTGTGTGTGTATGTGAAAACATGTACAACATGTGTTTGTTGATGTGAACTCTCCATGTTGCTCGATTGCTCTTTGGTAAGTGGGTCAATGGGAATCCCCTGCTCGTTTGCTTAACCCAGTCAGATAACAGAATTGCAGTTAAGACAACATCTTCTCAGCAACTCATGGTCCTTTTAGGTTCGACCCTAGGCAACCCCAAGGAGCAATGCAAAAAATAATAGGCCGATCTGATCAACACCAAACAGCGTGAACCACATTTTGCCCCCAACTTTTCCTCAAAAGTTGAACCATGCAACTGCGAACAAACTGTGATATTTGTGTATGGGTTTTCTCAAGTTTGGGGACCAATTCCTGCAAATGGTCAGTGTGGCGAAAACATGCAACATGGAAGCTGAAAATGTGTCTTTTCGACGTCCCTTGTAAAAATAAATAAATGAATATATAAATAAATAAATACATAAATAAATGAGTGAATGAATATATAAGGTTATTATTATTATCAAAAATAAAACGGGGGGTCTCTCGCTTGCTTGGTGGAAACAAGGAAATGCCCCCCTTTAGGTCTTAGCGGGACATCGCTTGGCTTTCCGCCTGTTCCCTTTCCGAGGAGTTGGCTCAATCAACCCTCGGGTTTGGCTCGACACCTGGCTTGTCAGAGGGGTAGATGAGGTCTATAGCAGGGATTTCTATATTACACACAAGAACATTGCCTTGTAAATGGTGGTGTCCCTGTATTTTGGTGGAAAAAGCCATGTTTCAAATGGGCAAAATGCAGCCCTGTATAGATGGCTCCTTTACATTCCCCAGCCCTCCAAATCTCAAAAAATGCTTTTTGCCTCACAAAAGCGTCCCACGCCGAAATCGCCGCAAAGTAGAACCTGAATTTCCTCTAGAACCACCGCGGCCACTTTGTTCACTCCCCGCCCCCCACAACCCCCCCACCCCCACCCCACCCCTTCTCCCCGCCCCCCCACCCCAACCCACCCCGCCCCTTCTCCCCCACCCCAACCCCACCCCACCCCACCCTTCTCACCCCCCCCCCCCCCACCCCAACCCACCCCACCCCACCCCCACCCCACCGGAGCCGGGCCTTGGCCACTGGCTTCATGGAGAACTTGTCGTTGAACTGCCCGTCCGGGCGGCCCAGGTGGGAGCACAGCACCACGCTCTGGGCGCCGTTGTCCAGGGCATACCTCGGAGCCGATGGATCGCGGGCGGCTTTTCGGACGGAGTGGCGGGTTGGTTGTGCTTGGGAGTGGTGGGTTGGTTGTGTTTGGTTTGGCTTGGCTTGGCTTGTTTTGGCTTGGTTGTGCTTGGCTTGGCTTGGCTTTTGGCTTGGCTTGTGGCTTGGCCCGGCTTGGCCTGGTTTGGTTTGGTCTGCCCTTGGTTTGATTTCAAGGTGTTCCGCTGGGGTTTCCGCCAGAACACCAGTCCAATTTTCTCCAAGGACAACAACCAAGGTAGGCGGGAAGCTGTTTTTTGTCCTGCAGCGACCCCAGTCCTTCCCCAGGCAAATCTGAGCTGCTGCTAAAAACTGAGCCGGCCAAAATGGAGCGCCGGCAATCCGAAAAATGGTTCACCTCAGCCCAAAGGATCTGGAAACTAAAGCCGATCACCGAAAATGGGGCCATTACCTAAAAGTGGAAAAGCCACATAAGGTCGGCTTTGGGCAAGTGAGTATCACGCGAGCCAAAATGGCGGCTTTCCTTCTGGTGTCCCTTTAACACCGCGCACCCTTAAAATCGGTGCTTGTCCTTTTGATTCCTTGTACAACCTCAAAAAGGGTACCATCCAAAAAAGACACTCCCATTTGGAGGATCGATTTAGTGGCGGCTAATGCCATCCATCATCCACTGCTAGTAGGTGGGGGGTCCAACCAGTCCAACCTACTAAGTTACTACTCCTGACGACAGTCGATGGAGAAAATCCGCTTCGCTCACATTGGCAGGCGTTTCATCCTAATATTTGTAGAGTGCATCATGCGTGGGTTTTTGTCCAGCCTGGGCGCAGATTTCTCTCTGGGTCTTGTCCACTTGGGGTACTCAAAATGGCTCCGGTCAGCTTCCACGATGGGTACGTGTTTTTGTTTCCTCTTTCTTTCTTTTTTTACGGATAAGCTCCCTTTCCATGTGTGCTTTTGGATAAATAGATGGCCCTGATAAATTAAATGGAATAAAGCCAATCTAAAACCAGTACCATCTGTTTGTAACCAAACTACAGGATCAAAAGGACACCTTTGACCCCGTCGCTTCTTTACTGTCGAGATTCTTGATGGTTGGCAGGGCCGCGTCGATGCGCGCGGTGTTCGTGATGATGTTGGGGTCCTTCGGGTGTATTTTATGAACCAGACTCTGAGACCCTTGAAAGCAACGCCAGACGGTCGGTCAAGCAATGCTTTAAAGAAATCGGAAGAGAGTTGTTCCCGCAGTGGTTTGAACATGCTTAAACAAAAAACCTGTTTTGCACTCATGGCTTAAACATGTTCAAAAAGAAGCCAAACGAAGGCTGGCCAAACAATAGTGGCTTAAGCATGCTTAAAAGGAAACAATAAAGGTTGTTAAAGCAAATGGCTTGAACGTGCTTAAACTAACAAACAAGAAGCTTGTTCAACAATACCGACTTATACACGTTCGAAAGTCGGCAAAAAGCAAGATTGCTTGAACAATAGTGGCTTGTACATAGTCAGCACAAAAGCAAAAGAAGGTTGTTTCAACAACGATGGTTTAAGCAAGTTTAAATTGAAACCACCAAAGGTGGTTTCTAACAATCGAGGCTTTTTGCAGCTGATTTTAGGCACTTTCGAATTCAACCAAAAGAAGCCTCAAGGTGGAAACCTGATGAAACATCACTATCAAATTCACGGTAGGTTGAAGGAAAATCACCCCAGTTTTCTGACTTTGCTAATCGACAGTCGAAAATGTTTGACCCGAGTGGAATAGGTGCCTTAAATCCCATGGTAAAGCAGATGGTGGCCCCGAATTCACCCGGTCCTTCTTGTCCTGGGGCACGTTGAAGTCCACACGGATGAAGACGCGCTTGCCCTGTCGCGCCGACACAAGGCTCTGTGTGTTTGCGTGAGAATAGAAAGTCGACTAACCCCCGCAATGGGTGCCCGACCACCCGAAACAGTGGTTCCCCTTTGGTTTCCCTCTAAAACAAGCCCCAAACGGGTAACCCCCCCCCCCATACCTCAAGAGAAGAGGCAAAAACCAGTGCTCCAAGAACAATGTTTTAAGTACAGGGTTGAAGTACCGGGTTTAAGCACATGCTTCCACGAAAGCTGAAAAAAAGCAGGTTGGGGCCCAATCAAGGGATTTCTGTTTGGGGGGGGGAAGGCGAGGGGGCAGACCGGTCAGTCGGCTTGAAAGGCTCCTTGACGTCCACCTCATCGATCTTCAGCTTGGCCAGGGATCTGCATGCCACCACCGCCCCAGCCCGAGGCTGGACGCCCTGGGCGAGGAGCAAGCAAGCAGCTCCCCAAAGCAGCCAGGCACCGGGAGAGTGCTGTGTTTCATTTTTTCTCTTTCGCCTCCAAGGGCACGGGGAGAGTGGCGTGTTTCTCTCGTGCTGTGTTTTTTCCCCGGAAGGGTCTCTTTCTCCTCGTTCATGTTTTATCTTTCGCCTCCAAAGGGCACTGGGTCGGGGGGTGGTGTTTCATAGATTATTATTATTATTATTATTATTATTATTATTATTATTATTATTATTAATTATTATTATTATTATTATTATTATTATTATTATTATTATTATTATTATTATTATTATTATTATTATTATTATTATTATTATTATTATTATTATTATTATTTATATTATTATTATTATTATTATTATTATTATTATTATTATTATTATTATTATTATTATTATTATTTGTATTTGTATTTGTATTTGTATTTGTATTGTTATTTTGCTTTATTTGTTTTTTCTTGTTTAAAAAAAATGGCCAGAAGGTGGGGTGAAGGGGATCGAGGTGGGTAGGTTTGGGTCCACCATGGTCAACACCTTCCTGAAAAACTGGGGCCCTGCAAGTGGGTAAACGTTTCGGGGTGTACATTGGGGACCCCTCAAAGTTGTGCTTCTCAAAATATTTGCAGCTGGCAAAGAAAGCACCTCTTCGGATGGCTGGGTTGGGGTTGTTTGGGCTTTGCTGGGCTGAAGAAATGATTGAAAACGTTGAGAAAATTCAAACATGACTTTTGCGCCTTACCTGTATCGCCAGTTGATGCATTTTTCCACTCCACTTTTCCCCCAAAGACCGATCGCAACAGCGACTCAAACAAGAAAGCGATCGCAACTTGGCTCGCCAAGTCACCCCAATATTAAGCCCCCAGCTCCGAAACGGCAAACGGCTCGACACTCGGCTCGGCGCGGCGCAAGGCGTGCCTTGCGGCGCCGCGCCGCGGCGCCAGCGCGCAGCGCCGCCACGCTGAGGCCCCCCACCGCCAGCGCGCCGCTGAGGCCCTGGGCCGCGGAGCCAGCTGACGCAGAGGCGGGCGCGGTGCCGGCGGCGAGGAAGCGCTGACCCGCCTGCAATCCACAGGCGGGCAACTCATCGTGCTTTTTGTTGTGGAAGAGAAAGCCATTGGCTTGAACTGCGTCCAGTTCGCCTACTGCTTTGTGGGTGTTTCAGCCTTTGCCATCCATGGGGTTTCCCCCGATTTCAGCGGCGTCAACCCGACTCCGACGTTGGGCCCAGTTCGTCTTCCTGGAAATCGATGATTGACAAGAAGAACAAGTCACCAATTGACCCCAGAGAAATCGACCCCAGTCTATTTTCTCGGGGTCTCGGAATGAGACCACTGTTAGAGGGCCAATACGAGTTCTACTTGGAAGAGTAGTCCAACTCTGGAAGCCATACAAACCAAAAACCCTCTTTGGGTTGGTTTTCGAGGGAAACTAAAAGAAATACCAGGCATTTTGGGGCAAGTTTCACATTGCTTGCAGGCTTTTAGCTCAAAGTCGTCCCCGATTTGGGTCGGAACGAAACGACTTGATCCCACGCCTGTGTGCCGCTCTCGGTCTTCGCACTCGGGGCCACGAAGGCTACGGTGCCCAGAGCCGCGGCGGAGAGGCCCAAAGTCAACTTGGAGGCCTCAGGCCGGGCGTGTTTGCTTGTGCGTGCGCGTGCGCGTGCGCGTGCACGTGCGCGTGCGCGTGCGCGTGCACGTGCGCGTGCGCGTGCGCGTGCGCGTGCGTCTGCGTCTGCGTGTGCGTGTGCGTGTGCGTGTGCGTGTGCGTGTGCGTGTGCGTGTGCGTGTGCGTGTGCGTGTGCGTGTGCGTGTGCGTGCGCGTGTGCGTGTGCGTGTGCGTGTGCGTGTGCGTGTGCGTGTGCGTGTGCGTGTGCGTGTGCGTGTGCTTGTGTGTGTGTGTGTCTGTGTGTGTCTGTGTGTGTCTGTGTGTGTGTGTCTGCGTGTGTCTGTGTGTGTCTGTGTGTGTCTGTGTGTGTCTGTGTGTGTCTGTGTGTGTCTGTGTGTGTCTGTGTGTGTCTGTGTGTGTGCGTGTCTCTGTGTGTGTGTGTCTGTGTGTGTCTGTGTGTGTCGGTGTGTGTGTGTGTGTCTGTGTGTGTCTGTGTGTGTCTGTGTGTGTCTGTGTGTGTCTGTGTGTGTCTGTGTGTGTCTGTGTGTGTGTATGTGTTTGCTTGGTCGGTTGGTTGGTTGGTTGGTTGGATGCTTGTGTGTGTGTGTGTTTGTTTGCTTGGTCGACTGGTTGGTTGGATGCTTGTCTACGTGTGTGTGTGTGTGTGTTTGCTTATTTCTGTTTTTCTTTCTTTCTTTCTTTCTTTCTTTCTTTCTTTCTTTCCTTCCTTTCTTCCTTCTTTCATTGATTGATTGATTGATTTATTGATTGTTTGTTTGTTTGCTTGCTTGCTTGCTTGTTTGTTTGTTTGGTTGGTTGGTTGGCGATTGGTTGGTTGGATGCTTGTCTGTGTGTGTGTGTGCTTGCTTGCTTGCTTGCTTGCTTGCTTGCTTGCTTGCTTGCTTGCTTGCTTGCTTGCTTGCTTGCTTGCTTGCTTGCTTGGTCGATTGGTTGGTCGATTGGTTGGTTGGATGCTTGTCTGTGTGTGTGCTTGCCTGCCTGCCTGCCTGCCTGCCTGCCTGCCTGCTTGCTTGCTTGCTTGCTTGATTGCTTGATTGTTTGATTGTTTGATTGTTTGATTGTTTGATTGTTTGATTGTTTGATTGTTTGGTTGTTTGCTTTCTTGTTTGGTGCTTGCTTGTTTGATTGATTGATTGTTTGGTTGGTCGGTTGGTTGCTTGCTCCTCTGTTTGATTGTCTGCTTGTTTGCTGGCTAGTTTCTTTATGTGTTAGTCGGTTGGTTGGTATCCTATGGTAAAGAACTCAAAGGCTAGATATGTGCACCAACCTGTTTTTTCCTTACCCGGTCTCAAGCACCCGGAGAAAGGCGAGAATCCCCGATTTATCCAAGGTCACTCCTGCCCAGGAAACCTCGCAGATCTTCTGGGCTCCTTGATCCGCGTTTTCAACAGTAGGTGTGTCTTGTTTCGGCCCCAAACATGCGGGGGGTGTTGTTCTTGGATAACCCCCTTCACCCACAAAAATGCGCGACCAAGGGAACCACACCTCAAAAAGCGTTCCGAGTGGCCATGGCTCGGTTGGCGCGGAAGGGAAGGTTTGGACTGATGGACCTAACGGAGTTTGAGAAGAACGGGGGTCGGACCTCGGAGCTCGGCGATCCAAGATGTGGATGGAAAAAATCCACTCGCACCACCTGAGAAACCATGGTTGAAACCACTGCATGTTGGTATTTACAGAAAAGTCACCATTCCCGGGCTTCTTAGGTGCGGGATTTCCTCCATCCACTAGTACGGCGCGACTTTTGACCCAACTCGGGGGTAGAAAAAAAAAACATCCAAGATATGTTGCTTCGGGGCGGGCAGCTTGCCCTTTCAACCCGGACCAAATCGCCGCGGGTTGACATGGCAGCAACTTAGTTCCTACCTTACTGGAAGCCGCAAGAGGGGCCAGAGATTCGCTGGGCACAAAGAGCAGAGAGAGAAAGAGGCGCGTTTCTAGGGTTTGATTCCGACTCCATTCTTTCCAACCATCGCTCTTCTCAAAACCTGATCGCTGTTTTCCCAGGGTTTTAGTCATTTTGTTAGAAAGAAGGATCCCTGGAAAGAATGGGGAAGGTACGCCTGGAGCATTTGTTGAGCTGCCCTGTTCAGTGTGCAGTTGGGTCCTCGAGTCGAAGTTGAACATAGTCCAAGACCTCTTTCCAGCAATGCTTCAGGAGTGCAGCTAGAACTTGCGAACCGTCCAACCTGGCACCTGCATTGCGAACAAAACCACGCGGAAGTCATGCCCAGTTTGTCATAGCACCCTCCAGGATGTTCCTCAGATGTCCCCTTCAAACCTCGCCCCCGGAACTCTGTTAAAACCCTTCGGCCCTGTAGGGGCGGGTGTGGGGTTCATCCAAAACGGGTTGGACTGACGAATATGGCACCAAAGTTTTCACGGCGAATTGAAAGCGAGAAGTTCACCAACCTTATGGGGAAATGTCTGGGCAACTTGCTAAAGAAAGCAGACCACAAGATCAGACAAACAAGCCGATCTCAAACTAGAAATAGAGCCAAACAGAAAACAGACATCAAACCAATAATCACAACAAGAATCAAACAAGAAATCAAACCAGACACAAAACCGGAAGCAATACGAGACATAAACCCGGGAATAAAACCAGACATAAAACTAGACTTAAACGAGAAATACAACCAGACACAAAGCCAGCAATAAAACCACAAAAATCATGCCAGACATCAACCCCACATAAAACCAAACATAGAACAAGCTATTAAACAGTTTACCAGCAGAAACAAAACCAGGCATAGAAATGACAAGAACTAGAAATAAACCAGAAATAGAATCAGACGAAAAACCTGCAATAAAACCAGATCAAAACCGGAAATAAAACCAGAAATTGTTCTAGGTCCCTTTTTCAGGGACCTGGAACTTTGCCCGTTTGATTCTCGGACAACTTAAAGCCAAGCTCCGTTTGTTGCATCCAAACACCCCATTACCTCTTCCACCACCTGATCAGACACCAAAACAAAATCTGACACAACCAAGGCACGAAGCAAAAAAACGCTGTGGCCATGTGTCGTCTTGAAGTCCACTCACAAAAAAAAACCTTCAAATGATGGTTTTGGTCCTTTACTGCGCAGGCCCTGCAGGGTGAAGCCGAAACCTTGTTGGTTTTACGTGCCTGGTTTTGCAGTCCGCGCAGGCTTTGTTGCCGACCGAGCTTGCAACAACAGGGCCGCAGCGCTTCAACCAAACTTCTCCTTCATTGATCATTGACAGTTGTCAACTTTAAGGTTGGGCTCTGGCACACGGCGCTTTGCGCACCCACCCAACCGGACATGAAACAGTCCGGAGGATGATCCGTGCCCCGCCGGCCACACCAGCTGCATCCAACCTGGCATGTCTCCCGGAGCCACAGAACAAGCATCATGCCAACGGCCCAAATAAGAATTCCCTTCGCAGGCATGCACGCGCCTGTCTTAGCAGACAGGGCAGGCGCGCACTTTAAGTTCTTCGATTTGGACGCAAATGCCAAGCATGACATTCCGGACAAGGCCTGGTTCGAGGTCTGCTCATCAATTTGGGTTGTGGAACGCATCAGATTGGCTTGTGAGTTGAAAATTCATCAAAATGACTTGTGAAGATTGGATTGGCTTGTTCGTTTTCAGATTGGCTTGTGAGAGGGATCAGATTGGCTTGTGAGGAGCATGAGATTGACTTGTGAGCATCAGATTGGCTTGTGAGAGGGGTCAGATTGACTTGTTATGGCTTTGACAGTTTCAAGCATCAGATTGGCTTGTTACACCGAAAAGCCATCATTTGTCATTCATCATCATCATCATCATCATCATCATCATCATCATCATCATCATCATCATCATCATCATCATCATCATCATCATCATCATCCATCAACCGTTCATCACCCAGCATCAGCAACATCATCATCATCATCATCATCATCATCATCATCATCATCATCATCATCATCATCATCATCATCATCATCATCATCATCATCACGTCGTTCATGATCAATCACAGACATCGATCATCTAAAACCATCGTCGCCGTCATCCATCAACCATGATCATCGTCATCTTTATGCAACTGTGATCATCCTCATCATCGTCGTCGTCACCATCATCCATCATCAGCATCCATCCTCACCGACATCCATCATCGTCATCATCATCAGGGTCGTTGCATCTGCATCATCATAGCCGTCTTAGCTAATTTCTTACACGCGCGCTAGAATGAAACGGACGATCGTCATCATCATCGTCGCCCATCATCATGATCATCCATCATCCGTCATCAAGATCATCCTCACCAGGTTGGTCAACCATCATCATCATCACTATCATCATGGTGAGCTTCATCGTCATCTTCATCATTATCCATCATCGTCCTCATCATCTCGTCACCAACTTTCATCGTCATCCATCATCCATGGCAATCATCAGCATCATCATCATCATCATCATCATCATCATCATCATGACCGCGTGATCTTCCGTCATCATCGTCATCGTCGTGGTCGTAACATCATCGGCGTCATGACCCTTACCCCGTATCTTATACACAATTCAACTGCGCCGTCAGGCAAATGACAGTCGTCGTGGCATGGATGATCATCATCATCATCACTTTCATCATATATCATCAACATGACCAACATCATCATGATCCATCCTCCTTATTATCACGCACCATCATTATCATCATGCATCATCATCCAGACTTAGCCTCTATCGTCCGTTTCAATTGGCGCTCGGCACAAAATCTACTTGTCGTGGCGCGGAGGATGATCATCATCATCATCACCTTCGTCATCCATCATCGTCATCGTCCGTCCATGATCACCATCAAACCCATGCATCATCATCCATCATCCTCATCCATCACCAGCACCCTTCATGATCCTCCATCATCATCATCATCATCATCATCATCATCATCATCATCCATCATCCTCACCCTTCGTGAGCCTCCATCATCATCATCGCCGCATCGTTGTCATCATCCTCATCACCATTATCATCCATCATCATCAACTCATCAATATCATCATCCGTCAGCACTGTCAACTGATGATAGTCATGATGGCACGGACTCATCATCATCATCATCATCACCCCTCATCATCATCATCATCGTCCGTTGCAGGATCGTCATCATTTTTACCATGATGATCATGAGTGATGATGAACGTGGTAGAATAGAGGACGATGGTGATGATGACGATGATGAGGATGATGAATATGACCTCTGCAAGAACGGTCATGATGGACGACGATGAGGATGCTGATGGTGCAACGAGGAAGAAGGTGATGACTATGATGGGTCTTTATCGTCATCATCATCAGGGTTGTCGCATCTGCATCATCATAGCCGTCTTAGCCAATTTCTTACACACGCGCTCGGCGTGATTTTGTTAGAATGAAATGGATGATCGTCATCATCGTCGTCGCCCACCATCAGCCGTCATCAAGATCATCCTCACCAGGTTGGTCAACCATCACCATCATCATCACTATCATCATGGCGAGCATCATCGTTGTCTTCATCATTATCCATCGTCGTCCTCATCATCTCGTCACCAACGTTCATCGTCATCCATCATCCTTGGCGATCATCAGCATCATCATCATCATCATCATCATCATGACCGCGTGATCTTCCGTCATCATCGTCATCGTCGTGGTCGTAACATCATCGGCGTCATGACCCTTCCCCCGTATCTTATACACACTTCAACTGCGCCGACAGTCGTCGTGGCATGGATGATAATCATCAGCATCACTTTCATCACGCATCGTCATCATGACCAGCATCATCATGATCCATCCTCCTTATTATCATGAACCATCATCATCATCATGCATCATCATCATCCATCACCACCATCATCCGTCATCATCATCGACATTGCAGACTTAGCCTCTATCTTCCGTCCGTTTCAATTGGCGCTCGGCACAAAATCTACTTGTCGTGGCACGGAGGATGATCGTCATCATCATCACCTTCGTCATCCATCCATGATCACCATCAAACCCATGCATCATCATCATCATCATCGTCCTCATCATCACCATCATCATCATCCATCATCAGCATCCTTCATGATCCTCCATCATCATCATCATCATCATCCATCATCCTCATCCATCACCAGCACCCTTCGTGAGCCTCCTTCATCATCATCGCCGCATCGTTGTCATCATCCTCATCACCATTGATCGTAACGCACCATCATCATCCATCATCATCAACCCATCAGTCTTCATGGCGCGAATCATCATCATCCGTCAGCATTGTCATCATCATTGTGGTCTTCGCGTATCTCTCGCGCGTCAACTGATGATAGTCATGATGGCACGGACTCATCATCATCATCATCACCCCTCATCATCATCATCATCATCGTCCGTCGCAGGATCGTCATCATCTCCACCCATGATGATCATGAGTAGGTGGTAGACGATAGAGGACGATGGTGATGATGACAATGATGAGGATGATGCGAGGAAGAAGGTGATAACTATGATGGGTGATGACGATGACGACTGATGATGAGAACGATGATGATGAGAATGATGATGATGAGGTGATGATGATAATGTTCATCTGTGCAA